GCGGAACAGAGTCAAATCTCGAAATACGAGGAACTTTCTAACTTGCGTGAAGCTCTCCGGCGAAGAATTGAAGAACGCCAGTCCCATCATGATGCTCGACATCAAGACCCCGACCGCCCAGTTCTTCATCAATTCCCTAGTCGAGATCAAGTTCAGGATTTCTTGCCCTCGATGCAACAGCTGTCAGATCTCGCGCAAGCCGAAACAGACGTCACAAGTATAACCGGAGTCTATCTCGGTGGAATCGGACACTTGGATTTCATGACAGACGGCTTCAGCCCAGGAAGAGCCAATGATGAGGCAGCTGAGACAGAAGAAAATCCACCGGAGACCGGGACCTTGCTCGGCGGTCTGCTCCGAAATATTCGCAAATCGATAGACCTCGGGGTTGCCGAACTCAAGAGTCTCACACCGAAGAGACAGTCGTCCGCCGAGGAGTCTCACCAGCGAGGTTTCTTCGGCGATATCCTGCAAAAAATTCAAGACAAGATCGTCGACGTCGTTGATGAAAATACAGGAAAGAACAGAACCGGAGACTTTCGCCTCCTCCCCGGCGACAAGGAAAGCCTCCGGGAGAGACCGAAGTCAGCTCTGTCCGGAGTTTACAGTGAAGACGGTCTGACCCGCGAGAGTTCACTGCCCCCAACTGCCCGAGCTCGAACGGTTTACACAACCGACTCGGATATGAGCATGGTCGACTACGAAACCCGCCGGAGACCTCAACCTCGACGGCGACGGACGCGAGACCGCATCTTCGATAGCAACTCGGATATACCCAATTCGTCCACAAATGAAGAGTTCGAGCCCCTGTTCCGCGCGGATAGTCGGGCAGGTCGGGCTTTCGTCGATGATATCTTGAAAGTTCCGAAACCTCCCAAGCGAATCCGAAGTGCATCGAATCTCACCGACTTCTCGCACAGCCTCTCAGTGCCTGTCATACCGAAAAGAACGCGCTCGGGATCGCTCGCGGTGCCGAAGGCCCCAACCAGGACGAAGTCCAAAGATTATCTCATCAGCTGTATCGAGACGCCGCCGCCTTTGCCGCCGAAGAATTATCAAAAGATGAACCAACGCGGAGAAGCTCGAGACCTCCCCGAGCCGAGCGCGGCAATTACGACTACGACGCCGGACAGATGGCAGAGGGGAAAGTTCACTGATCAATCGATCCGACTGAAAGAGATGTCAAAGCTAAAACACGCCGGCGCGGATGTCACGAGTGGAACACCCGTTGGCTCCCTAATCGCAGCTCCCGGGAACGGGAGCCTGAACTCAGATACGACATATACGAAATCGCCAGTCGGAAGCACCCGTACCGCACTCGAGACTCCGCAATCGAACCATGATCTTCGGTCCGTTTCCAAAGATTCGACCGCTGCGAGAAGGGGAAAGTCCCCGGATTTCCGAGAAAAGCTCCCTCTATCGGATGTCAACGATCAAAATCTGAGCTTCCAAGACGCGTTGTCCGAACCCTTGACATCGGATCCTGGATCTGCTGTCAGAGCGGATTGCGGTCGATTCGAGGATTTCCCGAAAACTGTCGAGGAGGATATTTTCTACAACGCTCTCGAGGAGCCGTCCCATGTTCTTAGCGATGAGAGACCGCAAGCTCGGCCGTTGGAACCTAGGGCTCCGTCACTGATCTCGTCCAAAGATGCATCAGAGGGACATGGGAGTGAGTCGAAAATGCAGCGGAGATCATCGGAAAAAATGGACGATTTCCGTGCCCGGCAGGAGTCCGAACAAAAAAGGAGTCGACTAGCTGCTTCGCCTCCCCGACTCGATCTCAATCACTACGAGTCGTACAGCGATCAGAAGTCGGCTCACGAGTATGAGCTGGCGGAGCCTAAGTCCAGAGCTCATCGTACCGTCGCCGACGCCATTTCCGTGGGCGGGAATCATTCTGAATATCGCGGTAGAGACTCCGGCGGAACGACTGCTCCTGCCGCGCGCAAAACGGCTGTCGATTCCAAGGGACTCGGTGAGCAATCGTCGGACAGAGCATTGCTGGACAGTCAGATCAACGGCTCGATGCCGATAAACGGGGCTAGTCTCCCGAAAAAGTCTGACAGAGATCAAAGCCAGGACGCGTACTACGAATCCACTCCTGGACGAGAGCAACAGAATCCGTCGTTTCCGGCGTTTTCGGCGACAGTGACCGCACCCGGCGCTAATCAGTCCTATGATACCCACTCTGGTGGACTGAGTGCAGATCCCGAGATAGGGTCCGACGTCATTCATCCGATATACAGCCACTCTATTAAAACGAGAGGGCAAACTCCGCAGCCTGCGAATAAAATCACACGAGCCGCGCAACATATGAATCAGACGACTCGAGCTGGTGGTATAGACTCAACGATTCCTCAGATTGCCACCGCGAACGGAGAGTACGGGAACGCAGGAGATTCTCAAGGCTTTCTCTCGAAGTTGATCCCTAGCAGAACGAGAAAAAAGAAGCGCACAACGCCGTTTTTGACTATTGACAAAGCTGAACTCGATAGGCTGCCGACTATGCGACCCGCCAGCCCCTCTCCTACTCGGAGACAACTCCCAGCATCCGAAGAGATTGGCACGTTACAGGTGCCGGGACAGGGAGACGAAGCGAACGAAACTTTCACGAGGCGCTGGATCCGACGAGGTTCCAACGCCCTCATCGAACTGAGCGGATCGTTCCGCAGACATCGCTCATCGAACGTTGTTGAGGGATCTCTCCCGATCGGTTCCCCCTATCAAGCCACCGTGGTCGACACCACCGATGGCACAGCCCGGGACATCAAACAACAAGAGCCATCTTCTCAAGCTCAAAACCCCGATTCGAACTCGAGTCCGTCCATTTTGCGTCGTCCCGAGCGGGCCAAGAACGAGGCGGGTGGCGTCCCGGAGAGGAATACTCGGGTACAATTCATCTCGAGTCCCGTTCATGGACGTGTCTTGAAATCTGAGACGAAGCCCTCGAAAGCTGAAGTGGATCCACTTTTCTTAGATGAGCCTACTGGTCCAATGGTGATCGATGTGAGGCTCTCCGCTAAAGACATATCCTTCCCGGTGCATGGGCGTAAACTCAAACTCGCCACAGAGGGAATAGCCCAACCGATCAGACCGACTGAAGAAAGTCATCTTTTCTCGCAATATTCGGACGGGCCCGACTTCATTCCGAGAAACAAATTCCCTGATATCGATCCCCGGACTCAGATAACAGGAATCGGAGGGGGTGACGAAAAGCGCGGACCTTTCGAAGACGAAGACTTCGAAAGAGATATCTTCATCCCGAAGCAAGCTAAACCCCCGATCTCGCTGACGAAAATGCTCAAAGGTGCGCTCTCGGGCAGAGGTCTACCCTGGAGCAGCCAGTTAGGAGGTCGAGAATGGGCGAGGAAGAACCAAGGACGGATGGAGCTCAGGAGAGGTCAAAACTCTCTGTTACCGTCGGTGCAAATAGGGGCGGCAGGAATGGAAGCCCGAGGGATTTTCGGTGAAGAGGCCCGATTGCGGAAGGCACAAGAAGACGTTCGGGAACCGAAGAAAATGTCAAAAGCAATTTCGTTTGGAGATCTGATGGATATACGGCAATCCTTCCGGAACGAAGAACTCGCTCGGATGGTTGCGGGGGCTCCCCCGGACGTCGTTTTGGCTCACGTCAAATCTTCACCTTACGTGGACAGTATGACACTGGATACGATCAAAAAGCTCTTGGTGCCGGATTTTGCGAAGATCCGCGAGCGTATTGAGGAGAAATTGCGTAAGAAAATTCCAAGGGAGAAAACCGATAAGAACTACCAGCCATTCAAATTCGAAAGGGGTATGGATGTTCCTTCGGAGGAAGTAACCTACGAGAGAGAGGGACCACTCCAGATAAACCGACAGCGTCCCCCCGTTGCGGTTCCCCTCGTGAATTCAACCATTCTCAATGAGGTCGACTCGTCCGCTACGGAACCGTCGGACAGATATTCGGTTTTGGCACCGAGCGTCGCTGAGCTGAAGAGAAGCGCAACCGAGGTTATTGAAGAAGCTGCTCGAAACGCTGCGCAAGAAGTCCCAGCCCCGGGGATCCCACCTCTGATGTTCCCTCTGGACAGAGTTGCCTCTACGGGGCCCATCAACCGGAACTCGGTCATCGCGCGAGATCCTAATCCCACATCTGCGACTCCCGTCGAAGCGTCTTCACGGAGAATGGAGATCGCTGATATCCCCGCTCCCGACATCGAATTGTGCAATCGGCGGTCATCCTTGATTCTTGTAAACGCGAGAGATTTGGATCTGGCGAAGCCAAAGCAACTGAGTGAGCTCACCAGCGTGAGCGTAGACATGAGGAGATTGAGACAACATTTACCCACCTATAAGCAGTTCAAAGCTGCCGAGGTTTAGATCGCCGGACCTATCAGAAAATCCGCGTCGATCTCACGCGGCCGAGAACTCCTGGCATCGAAGGTCAGTAGATAGAGTGAATTATTATGATCCTGCTCAATATATCATGTCGATCGGTGATCCTCCGAAAGGCTGAGAGTTGGAACTCAAAGACAGCAATTTCCAGGAGGCCCGCAAGCATTTTGTGGATACATATTGCGTGGAGGGTCGGAGTGTATATACGAGATTAATTAAGTTTTGTAAATATTTTTCGCCGGAGAGAATAAAGTCCTGAAGTCGTATGCCGATTGAGATAATTGGAGCTTCTCCCTGACCCGGATAACACACACTTGAGAACGCTAGCGAAATGAAGACAAAGATGGCTTCGAGGCTCCTCTAATGTGAGGGAGGAGCCCATTCCCCCCGCTCACGATCCAAGGAGAAAAGGTCCTCTTGTGTCAATGGACGTCGCGGGGACCACCATCAAATGCTGGGCATTGCTGACAGGACAGCTTGAAAAATATCGTCCCAATCGGAATGATTAGAGATTGATTAGAAGCCAGAAGTGCCCCTTGATCGATGTATACGCACGTTGACTACTCGTCAGATTCGCACCCTTCCCGCAACTCGAGAGTGACGTCTGACCTTACGAATTTCAGTGCCTGAGTCTGCCCAATTTCCCGTGCGTCGTCAAAATCGCTCATGCACACGGTGGGATCGGGAAGATCAAGGTCGGTTCTCAATAGTCATTAGTTGACGGGGGAAGAAGAACCCCCATTTCAGATGCCCTCGTCTGTCGCGCGACATTGTTCCAGTTGGATGTTCGCTTTCCAGGTAGAGAATCAATCCGATTATCAAGACGTCCAGAGCGTCGTCGCGGTTTCCCATTCTTACTGCACCGTGGAGCCCTTCATCGACACGAAATACGACTTACATATTCAAAAGATCGGCACCAACTACAAAGCCTTCATGTGAGTACAGATACCTACACGTCTTCCGGGATTTTCTCGTCGGGAGCTTTATTCATGTGATAACTTACCCTATTCCGAGGAACCTCTGACTCAAGGATTCTTTCCTCTTTCAAGGCGAAAGAGTATCAGCGGTAATTGGAAAGCCAACATGGGCTCCGCCATGTTAGAACAAGTAAGATTCGACCCGATAAACGTTCCGGAGGAGCCCAAGTTGAGATCTACCCACACTCTAAGCGCTCCCGTCCTTACAGGTGGTTCTCCACGACCGCTACAAGTCTTGGGTCGACGCTGTCGCTGAGCTTTACGGTGGGCTCGATATCTGCGCTGTCGAAGCGATCCAAGGAAAAGACGGGAGAGAACACATCACCGAGGTCAGTCGCTTGTTGGGAGCGCATTTCTGGCAATCAGGCTCATCCCTGTCACAATTGTGGAGAAGTTTGGCACCGTCTAATTTTGAGATCTTTGTCTCCGCGCAGGCCAATGACTCGTCTATGCAGCTGCTTGGCGAGAGCCAAGATGAAGATCGTCGTCTCATTTCCGAGCTTGTGGTGCAGAGAATGCATCAGTTCTGCCGTGTTCCAGGGACCACATCTTATCAAGGCGTTCCCGGAGTGCCTCCGCAAGTTCCCCCCGCAGCTCCGGCAACCGCTCCAAGCGCTACTGCGGTGGCTGCACCAGCACCCACTCCGACACCCACCTCGACACCTGTAGGTTTCTCTCGGGAATCCTCGATTTGCTTTTTGTTTTTCGACCAGAGAAGCGGATAGTGGATAACTTGAGCTTCTTCGAATCAGGGAGGAACACCTCTACCCCCTCGACCCGCCCCACCGGCACTACGCCGAGGCTCGTCCACTACTTCGGGGCCTCCACCCCCGACGCCTCCGCCACCTTCAGCGGCCGCTTTGCAATCGGCTGGCTCCTCAATCCCTCCTCCCAGGCCAGCGGCAGCGCCACAGGTGAGCTCAGCCAGCCCGTATAATTGCGATTCATATTTTCGTTTCTACCTCCTGTTGTTATTGGGAGGAGCTCGGGTAGATCGAGCGGATCGTTCTCCAGCATGAGTAAAGGAACCCATTATCCCGTAGGCCGTGTCAGTGCCCGCGACTCCGAGCGCTACGTCTGCGCAACCCGGAGATACGAACCCGTTCAATGCCGCAGCCGGTGCCGCAGAACAAGCATCGGCTGCTGCGACGGCAGCGGCTTCCGCCTTGACTCGTGGGGCTGCATCGCTCTTCCGGAGGTCTGTACGAGCACGTGGAATAATGATTCCGGATCCAGCTGAGATCTGATGGGATTCAAAAACAAACATCTGCGCTCACCGACTCGTGGAGAATAACTCAGACAAACTTCGCTTTCAGGGAGAGCCAGAGCGACAAAAGCGGCGCCCCCGATGATCCCGAAGATACCATGGGTAATCTTAGGAAGACCTTCGCTGGCGTGTTCGGCGACATGTAAGCGGGAAAAGTCTCACGCTGAGCCAAATCTTGGCCGAACAGCCCACATTCATTTGACGCTCACCACTGAGAATCGAACATCACTTATTCATGATGCAACAGCTTGAACAATCTTTTTTTCTCATTCTCAACATTTGTAAAATCGAATTACTTCAAGTACTTCGAGCTGTGTGTTCGAATGATTCTGCCATGATTCTCTTGGATAGGGACCTCTATTGGATTTCCGTGAAGCGCTCGCGAAGGAAAACTCGAAATTCGGAGTCGGGTATCTATCGGGCTCTCGATTTACCGATAGGGGATGCTCCGGGGCGCGAATGTCCGGCCCAGTCAGATTATCTGGGTTCGAGCAGTCCTCCCTGACCAGCAAGTCCTCCCCGATCGTTCGCGGTCCGAGGGTGTTTTATTCTCCTGCTATGGATAATTGAGCAATACGAGAAGGTGATTGAACGTATCTTATCTATCACTTGAAGTAGTGAGAAATCACGAATATCCCCCGGGAGTCTGGTGTCACGGTTTTGCGCTGAATCAACTGATTGCATCTCTCGAGTCAACCGAAACTGGGAGTCGACTTCTGTCTAAGCCGTGCCGGATCCCGAATATTAGACAGGTATAGATCCACTAATTTGAGCCAATAGCCGTACGCCTCCGGCGTCAGTAAGAATAACGCATATGATACATTCTTATGGATCAAACCTCTGTGGAGGAAGCTGCCGCCTGTATCCACGCTTACCATGAAAGGCGGCAGATTCTTGATCAACGAATATCGTAGATGTTTAGGATTTGGCCAAAGGTTGTTTTCAGCTATCCTGTGATCCGGGAAGCCTACAGCTTGCTGCTAAAATATAGCTGCTCGTGGCTCAGCCGGAACCAACCGACAACCGGTCTACGCTTTTCGTCGCCTATACAAGGGTATTTTCCCCCTGTCGCAGCTACATATATCAGCATATATGTGACCTTCATGGGAGCAACCGTGGCATGAAAACCATCGAAGGCTCCGAGATTTCAGTGTTGACCAACCTGGGTAACTCAGTGATTTATCATTCTATCTATGAGTTGAAGATTGCTTTTTCCGACAACGAGTAGGGACGGCATTAGAATGTCCTTGTATACGATTGCATTGGAAAGGACCGATGGACATCTGTCCGAACAAGTCTCCTCGAATTCAGTTAACGAAATTCTTTTGAGCGTTAGCCGGGGAGTTCAATGGCGTATACGGTGATTATCTGCGGTGTCATGGAATATAATGTGATAATGTTGCTGTTTGTTGATTTATCTACTGTTTACGCTAAGTTATTCCAAAACGGGCACCAAGTCTCCAAGGGAGTCGAGGCGGCTAAGACGCTGGATGTAATTCGATTTCGCCTGAATTGTCCGCTGTACGAAACACGATCTCGATGTTCAGTATCTGATATCCGCATTCTTTGCAATGAGCCAAATATTTGCGAATATTTATGCTTGGTTCGGGAGAATAAAGGACTGTAACATCAATACCCAATTCATTGCCGCCTTCCACTCCGATAGGTTCCCGAATCCCATTAGAAAAGAACGTACCCTGAAGTTCCCGTTGGGAACGGGAACTTCCTCCCCACAGGCAGCAGTTTTGAAGTCCCTCATCCAATTAGTCTCTCATCGGCATACGGCGTTCCGATGAGGATCACCTAAATGAGCATGGCTTCAGACCCAGTCGCTGGAATGAGTTCGGGACGAGAAGGACTCGTCCTGCTCCGCGAGAGCTGGCGGCACCAGAGCATCAGATGGCGAAGGCTGATCGCGGAGCAATTGAGAGCCATTGCGCCGGTAACGCTCAAGAAGCGATCACGGAAAGTGGCGTCCATGCTCCGCGTGAGAAGCGATCAGAGCAACGGAAGAGAACAATTCCTCGGGAAAGGGTAGCCACTACTGCGGCTGCATAGGATCGCAGAACTGTCGCGGCAATATCGGAAGACATTTGAGGAACTCCGGTATCGCTGGAATTTCGGCTTGCAGGCAAAATCTGACAATGAGACCTTCGGAAGCACCGGTTTTCCGTCCACCGCTCGTCCATGTCTTTGGGACCGATAGGCTGGGGCCTGCGAAAATGAAACGCCATAGATTCAACGAATCAAAACGGTATCGGCCGTACGGAGGGCGGGATAAAGTCTAGAGCAGCGCAGTGCCTCCTCCTCCTGCCACAGCTCTGAGATCAACGTTCCGGAATGGAGAGTGAAAAACTGGATTGACTTAAATAATGTCTTTATTCACAACATATAGTTCCACTATATGCGTGAACCATTCCGAAAAACTACAGAAACCGGGCGCAGGACCGTTCCATCCGTCAACCGAACGCGTGGCGATTTGCCCTGAAAAATGAGTTCTCTCGTTAAACCGCTCATCGACGCAGCTCTTCACCGGGGCTCTTCAGTGATGATTGGATTCTTTTCGCGCTACACCACGAATGTTACTCACGTCTGCATAACGTAGTTCTCGGCTTTGTTGAATGGGTTTTCTCTTTCCACGGCGTCGGTACCCCACCCGTCGCCCCAAAGATGATGTGGGTGCTTCGTGAACGGAGGAGTGTTGACAAGACCGTTCGGGAACAAACAGTGCGGGTAATCACCTGGAAAATTCACAAGCTATGCGAGAAATGCAAGAAAACTCGGTCGGTGCGCGGGATTGTCTTCGAGCGGTGGGAGGCATCGAGCGCAATTATTCGGATTCTGTCCCGTTCGCCATCGGTTCTCACCGCTGTTCCCTCTCTGGATGGAGTAACGTCCTTTTTCGTTATTGCATCGGAGATACGGTGATCCGAATATCAAATAACCGTAGCGTAGGTTGTACCTGTTGAAGCGAAAATCGTTTACCAGCGAGCTCGCGGTCCACGCATAGGAGGCATTGGACTCGAGGGTTCAGGTTTGATCTCCGGCGGGGAGAAGGGATCCCAGAAATGATACACCCGAGAGATTGGTGGGGAATTTTTCGGCTCTGTCGTTTTCCCACCCCCGAGGCGGGCCAACGGCTCGAATAATTTTGGAAATCCTACTCACCGGGGCATACCGATATCAAATTGTGGCACTTTGTAACGATTCGCTAATTGCTTATGGGTGATCGAGTTCAGGTAATTCTGGTCGACCGGCTGAGCGAGACTCAAGGTGAGGAGGACTGTACTCGAGATAATGGCAGTGACAAACATGTTGCTCAGATGATCGGATCGGGGTTCCGAACCATCAGCTTCAGGAGTCGAAGCTCAGGCTCCGAGTGAGCGTTCTTTCCCTAGAAAAAAAGCGGGAGCTTTTGTCATCCAAGATCAATTAGGCCAAAGGTAGGAGTATGAGCGACTCTCGTGAAGCACACTTTATCACCAGAGCTCGGGACCTCAGGCTTTTCGCCGTAAATATCTACGGCCGCCTTCTTCGACGCTTTCCGATCGAAGATGCCTCTTGAGTTTTTCTGCGCCTGAAAAGCTCCCCCGAGCCACCAAGACGCTGAATGATGAATAGGGTTGGCGAAGCCATGCTTCAGGAACACATCTTGCATCCGTTAAAATCCGATGGTCCGCCTAGACGCCGATTTCTTTTCGATAAAGCTCCTATCAGACCGGCATCGATTGCTCACTGATGGGACTTCACGTAACTTTCTCATGGAACGGCCCTCACAAACGTTTTGATGCGGTGTTTGCCCTGCCAACTATGTCTATATTGCCGAGTTCCGGAGCCTGTTCTGAGGTTTTTCAGTACCCCTTTGCCTCCCGTTTCCGGCATTTTTCAGTGCCCGAATCTCCGAGCTCTAGTCATCACCGGGCTTGCTGGGCGAAAACCTAGGGGTGATCGCGCGGGTACTCGATATTGCGGACTATTCATCTCGTAGAGAACTCTGCACTCTCCGCGGTCGATAAAATCGTCTTGAAGCCTCTCAGCTCCAGTCGAGTTTCACCATCGCAGCTAATGTCGAGCGAATGATCCGGAATCTCGATTCCCGAAGGAGCAGTCTTTCAACGTTTAGAGAATCATATGACTATCGGACCTCGGAAGTTGCCCGGGAATGTAGCTTCGCGCTCACGCTCCGATCATTCCTCAGTCTGCTCTCCGCTGACGTCTCTACGCGGATATGGCATCCAGCATTCTAAGGGGCACAACAGAAAACCGATCTGAGCGTTTGAGTTACGGAACTCACCGGACCACAACTCCAACTTGGGCAGCGAGAAACACGAACGACTCCTTAGAAGTCAAAACGTTGAGACTTAACTTCCGGCGACGGATGAAGCGCACGAGAAGTGGCTTTGACGGCGGGTCGACGATCGCTCGCTGCTTCGTTCGCAGCTTTCCCTTTCGACGCGATTCTTCCTGAACGCCGTTCGGGATGCGTAAGACCTTTCCGAAGTCTTCGGCAAAGTAAGCGTTACGTAATCGACATACGCGGGAGTTTTCCGTTATGATAACATGCCGCTCCTATGGGGCATCCTATTCCTATAAAGCTGCGGTGCAGATCCTCCTCCGTCCTCAGTACTCCCTCGAGCATTTTGGGAACAACTTCCTCTAACTGAGTTTCTGTCTGAGGGACCGCACTCAGCGGCTTGATTCGTCCTGTGGGTCCCTTCGAAGACAATGGTGGATCTTCGTGATACGTTCCATGAAGCGATTGGGAAGATTTGTCAAAAGATTAAAATAAGCTTTTCCGTCGTTCGGCACGCCACGGCGCCAACATTCCACAAATCGGATAGCCCAGCGACGAGCAGCATACCGAAGAGAATCGCACGATCTCTTGAGCCTTACACGGAAACGTCACCGACAGTCGTGGAAGACAAGAGTCGTCAATCTATCCTTCAGCATATCTCGACCCGGCGGACCGAATACTGTTGAAGTTTAGGACATCCATTCTGGGAGCGGAACTCTCTGGTTTTCGGAAGTTCCACTTGCGCTCCTTGGCTGAGGGAGCTAGATTGCTCTTCCGGATCCTGAGATTGAGGGAATGGATCTTCATTCCCGGCCTACAATGAGTCAAGCTTGCTCTGGGGGCGATTATTCGAATGGTTGACGACTTCCGTGAGCTGGTCGAGAAGCATCTCGCCATCGAATCCAGGTCGCTCAAGCTCTGACGTCAGAAGGAGGGTGGGGGGAGGGGGTCTTCCCGAGCGCAATGAAATGTGATTGAATCTCAATGAATGAAAGCTGAATCCTGAATGGAGGATATTGGAACGATTCCAGACGGAGGGAATGTGAAATGTTGCAGGGTCGTATCGCATCTCTACTTGGAGATCAAGAGCCGATTACGACTCTGAAATCAGGGATGTTCGAGCTGAGTAGACATGGATTGCGCGGAGTGAGACGAAACGAGCCCGAGCTGCCTTCTGGAACCCGAGTGCCCGCGCCCCATTAGGGACATGGTGCGAAGACTCACCCGTAGTCGTTTGCCGGTCGAGACCTAATCGAGGACACACTCACAGACCCTAGCTTCGCACAGATCGTCGACCCGTCGACTCGGAAAGATAAGGTCCGGGCGAGATGCGACCGAAAGCTAAATGTATCTGATCCTGAAGAGCATCCGCATTTATCGTGGACGTACGCCGAAAATGAACAGGGGACATAACTCGAGGTTGAAAATACGATTTATTTGCGAGAATCGACTGGTTGGGAAAAACTTCCTTAGTTCGTTCCAGGGTCGCTCGCTGTGAATTGCGGAACTCACTATATGAATGGAAGTGGGTCATCTCCGTGTCGCAAATTCGTATACTCCATCAGTTCCGCGAAAGTCTGCTCTCTTAACGACATCCTGAATGATTACGCACACAAGACCAGCAAACTCAATGACTGACGTATCTAATTTGCTTAAAATGAGAGGAATATACTTTTCACGGTTTCACAGCTCAGTGGATGATGATAATCGATTAACGGATGAGAAGGTCCCGGAAAGGGCACAAACGAGAACAGCGTGTATTCTCTTGATTTAGCGCAAAACATTCGTCGTGATTTTGGGGGCGCATACCGAGCCAACGGAGTACCATCGCCCAGAGCTCGCGATGGCCTAGCCATACTCATTCGTCAGCGACCGATAGATTTTATTTATCTTCGCACCACTCGTTTTCCTTGCGAACTTGTTCTTGCTCTGCCGGATTGAAGTCGTTCGGGATGTTGAATTGCTTCCGGATATCTTCTGGCGCCTTGCCTTTGATCATGTTGGCGACTGTTTTGCATGTGACGTCAAGCAACGCTTTGATATCAAGGTAGTTAGCCGCGAGAATCAACTCGAACAGGGTTCCTTGGTCAACTTTTAGGAAATCTGCGTCCCAGGACGGTATATCATCGGTTCGTTTCTCTTTGGTTTCATCTTCTTCCTGCGGTGGGGGATCGTCTTTGTGGTAGGTAGCCCATTGAATGACTTTCCTCAGGATGGTCGCCGTCACATTCGGAAGCGGCACCGGCTCATCGTCATCTTCGTCCATGCCAAGATCCTCAAGCATCGTTTTGATCGTGACTGATGCCTTCGCGATCTCCACATCGACCTCAAAAACTTCGCCATCGCTACTCTGCAATTTGATGGTCGGCATTTTCGGAAGTTTCCCTCGGAGAAGGTTTCGACTCACGAGTGTGGAATCTTCAGCTGCGAGATCCGCAAACAACTGCACCGTAGCCCACGAGCCCGATTCGTTCCGCGAGACACACACAAAAGATAAAAGTTTACTGCTCCACTTCTTTCTGTTGAGATGTGATGTGATCCACTCTTTCGTTCGCGTTGCTTAAATGAGCAGGAATCAGCCCTCGACACACAGCGAGGGAGAGGGCGTGTCTGGGACCACTGCGGATTCGAAAGCTCGGGCGCCCCTCCGCACAGAGCGCTCCACGAATCATTCGCACGCAAATCGTCTGAGATTGTCGAGTGGAGAGATCTAATGAACTCAAGCTCGAGGAAAGCGTCGATTTTCTCAATATGCAGAGCGAAAGACATCGATAGTCCCCCTTCAAAGCTGAGGAATGCGGAGACACCCGGTCAGAGCGGGGATCGACCGCACTCAATGACGGGTTTTGAAATTTTCAAGACTTGGATGGCGATCCTCTAATTGTGCATCAAAGTCGCATCGCTTAGCCAGAGCATGTGATCTACGGGTTCCAGTACCGGACGTTATCGACTCCGAACGGGGACATCGGCGTCGCCTCGTCTCTTCGGGTTAGAACTATGTATATCATCAGCCTCCCCCACGGGTATAAAAAATCAGGCACAAAAGGTATTCATCTTAGGCGGCTATATGTACAGTAACAGATATGCAGACAGCTCGAGGACGACGTCATCACGTGATCACAAAGGGGTCTCTCTGAGTCGGAGAGCATCAAACTTCAGGTTTCTTTGTCAGAGATGCGATTATGTGCTTGTTTTCCTCATTACCCTCGACCAAGTTCCTTAACGCTAGAACGATCCATTGAGTGATGAAAGGATTCCTCGCGTCCAGGCAGCTCATGTCGCACAGGAGTTCGATCCCGTTGAAATCTCTGCGAAAATTTTCCACAATCATTCGAGATCAGCCACCTTCTTGGAGCGGCTGGAAATGATCACTCGCCTATCGGACTCAATGATGAGCCTACCTGACTGTATCTTGGTTTCGCTTATCCTTGTAACACATATTGCCGATCAATCGAACCAGATCCCTCTTTAGGCCGAAGTAGGGATGGTCGAATATATCTTCCTGCGAGAAGCATGCATGTGAACTTCACGTAAGCGGAAAGGACTTATCCCAAGAATAGCTCCGAAATACATACGATGTTCGGTCTCCTAGGTCTTAGCCGATAGAGGTATCTATGAAGTTTACCTTGTTCCCGGCCAACGATCCGAAGTCCGATCTTCGATCTAAATCTGTCGTACTATCTTCTCTGAGAGCGTGCACACTCCGGAGACACTCAATGGTCATGATCAGGAGCTCGAGGTCCTTCGTGACGACTCCTTGCGGGTCTCGCAGAGATGACAGCGACAGAATGGTGATGAGCTGTAAAAGGCGCCTTCAGACACATCATCCTCTCGACCGTATATCAATGGGGGCATGAATGCTAACCTTTACGAAGAGGATTTCCATCGCCGGGGGATCCCGATGATCAGAAGTCTTCCTCATGCTTCCGATATGATTCTTCACTCTTTCGATGCAAAACTCCAAGGATTCTCTCGGCAGTGTCGGAACTTCGGACTCCGGATCAATTTCTGTCAGCTATAGATCACCAATGTTATAATCCTGTAATTATCACAGACTCTCCGCACTCCGGTCATCCGCGCTTCCAGCTCACCTCTTCTGATATCAGATCCATTAGAAAACACTGTGTCGAGACGTCTAGTCCGTCGAAGTGTGCGCTGAAGAACATCGGACTCATGACAAACTTCTTGAGGAGGGAAAGCGCATCCCTATCGGAATTATCGAGAGTTCTCCGAACCAAAATCCGAGTAAACTCGACGAAGTCATCTCGCTTGACGAAATCTGAGCAATTCATATCGTTCTCGAGGAGGTGACAAAGAACGATGACAGCGAGTGAAACGAGCTTTTCATGCTGGAAACAGGAATTTCAGAGGATAAGGAGCATGATTCTTGGATTCCATTCCCCCGAGATGGACCGTTGGGTTCTGAGTATTCGATGGACACGCATCAAGGACGGTGCCGACTGCTCACCGGACACCGTAGAACCTGCAACAGTGGTTCTCCCTCGCTCGGCAGCAGAATAGGATAGAGACTCCGAGACGTATTTCGGTCACTCGCCATGGAATTTGCGAAGTACTGCAGCAAGCGAAGATAGCAAGCGACCGGTAGCTCGTCAAGCGAGCCGATCAGTGGTTTCGCAAAAACCTGGAATCAAGAATATCTTCGTGTCGAGAATATCGCAAACGACAGTGATTTCTTCGCAACGGGGAGCTCAGAAGAATCCCACCTCCGGACGAATCAATGGTCTATTTATCAAACAGCGTCGCGTAAGCGGTAAACGCTCTCACCGTTTGCGCCAATGTTTCGTTCAGCGGCGAATGGTTCAGATCATTTCTCAGATCTTGCATGAACGGGACGATGTTCCGCACTAGAGCGAGCAACTCATACAGAAGATCAGAGTCTCGCTCCTCGACGATGATATCTACTATCTGTGCGATGTCGTTCATCGAAACTTCAATGATCGAGACATCGCGTTGAGTGATCTGAAACTTTCACCATATCAGCGTCTGCCATTTAGCCCTCCTTGAGTAACTTCGGTAAAGTCTGCCCGGATCCTCACAATCTGCCCGGAGCCTCACTCACCCTTCCGGAAATCGAACTTGATAGTCTGCGGAGCTCACGGCTGAGTTCTTCATGAGAGGCATGATTGTCCTCCAAAATGGAACTCAATGTCTGAGACGACGACATGATCGACCACACGAGCTACGTTTCCTTCTTTTAGCCCGAGCAAAGCTCTCACCAGAGTCTCTCACGGATCTTCGCGCTCACAGAGCCGACTGGTACAGATGAGCCACATGTCGGCCTATCCATAGAAGCTTCGCTGGGTAGGATGATTCAATAGTTCGCTCATTTCTCCAGGTCCATAAGCGATGCAGATTGATTGCAGAGTCTCCGCACATCCGAAATTTTGTGTTGATCCGCTGTTTCCTTCGATGGGATAGGCTATAATGGTGTTCTTGGGGAACCAAAGGATCTATCATCGCGCTCTAAAGTAAACATATCCTCTCCCCCCGAAACACGTGCGGATTGTTTTCGTGCCGAGTGTTCCACCTATCATTCAAGGAATTCGGGCCGTCCTATCTTCGTGTCAGGCTTAAATTCGCCAATCGGCGCACAACGATCGGTAGGTCGTTTCGACTGTGGTTCTCGGGGTCGAGAATAGTTCTTACTCGCCGTCAACGTCGCGCGACCTGATCTACGTCTTGTAGACTCGCCTCCGTGATCGATAAAAATTCGAATCGCCGGTGAGCGAACGGGAAGTCTCATACTTCTTCGAGCAGAAAAAGTTATCTTCCCAGATCATGTCGGCGGACATCGATGTAAGGTTATTCAGCAGTCGCAGTCGCTCGAAAAGCCTCGCAGATGAAAGTGAATTCATGGGGACCCGGGCGAAGATCGTAGTCTCTCCAGGAACGACAATCACAACGGACGGGGGATTCATGAGGTACGAATATGAATCTGTGAGGACCCGTTTACACCACAGAGTTTGTAGATGAGCGCATGATCCTTGTCATGGATATAGGTTGGTGAGCGCGTCCACATCCATGATTTAAAAGAATGGGAGCACTCTCGATGACTAGGATCTTCCTCGAATAGGTACCTCACGATCATTTTCTCGAATACCAATCGGTTCGGGAAATCCCCCGCTCCGAATTCGAAAGCGAACATCGAGTTCTAAATTGAGCCAAAATCCCCAGGGGACACGGAACCTATTTGGAGGATGAGAACGGTCTCCTGTCAGCTGTCGCTGGTGTGGTGGAGAAAGTAAACAAACTCATCACGGTTCGTCCACTGAAGACACGGTCAGTATTCCAACTTCGATAGATAGAGTCGATCCTTTACTCACGGAGGCATGCTACGACTTACGAATTGCGTGCTGTGTGTGAAATGATTTCGACTTGCGAACGTCGACATGAACACTTCCGAAATGTATTGATCATCGCCCATAGAATGAGTGATTTCAATCCGCGTCGCATAAAGCCCGTTTAAATCGTGTCAAACGAGACCCTCCGGTCAAGGAGAATCCTCGAATGAAAATGAATTCGTGACGGAACTCATTTAAATTCGAACGATCTTCCGGAACGGATAACGTCTATGAGTCGAGCTTCGACTTCATCGTTCACCGAGCGGACGTGAGGGGAATCATGGAGATCGTCAGTGTATCTTATTGAAGTTCTTCGCAGATATAATCCAGAGGTCGGTGACGTCGTGGTGGGTCGCATAGTCCAAGTTTGTCAGAAGCTGTGGAAAGTTGATGTCGGCGGGAGACTTTACGCTGCGCTACATCTTCACTCAGTCAACCTTCCTGGCGGAGAATTGCGGAGAAAATCTATCGAAGACGAGCTATTGATGAGTCAATACCTCATCGACGGAGATCTTGTATCAGCCGAGGTACTTCTGAATTCTTCCGAAGATCGTCGGAATCTATATATTGCCTATCCATACCAAGTCCCGTCATCCGGACGACGACCACATCCTGCTCAATATTTAATGCTGTCCCTACCCTAGGTTCAGAATGTCGGCGTTGATGGTGCTGTGTCGCTCCACACTAGGAACCTCAAGTATGGCAAACTCGGCCAAGGCAGCCTGGTTCAGGTTTCCCCATCTCTAGTGAAACGATGCAAAACCCACTTCCACAATCTTCCAAACGGAGTCCATCTTGTAATAGGTGAATAGGCCACGACGTTCCTCATGATGAGGGGCATCGAAACCCGGAAGATGGCGATTTATCGACTCGGGTTTGACGAATCTAGAGTTTCAGGTCTGAACGGATTCCTTTGGATAACGCATGAAGGCGAAGCCGAATCTTCTCACTTCGCGCAAAACTTGGAGCGGGTGGATTATCACACGAGAGAGAGCATCTGTCGAACGCGGAACGTCATCATCAGTCTATCTAGGTGAGTACGTCGCGCACCATCGCTTCCGAGACTCGCCGCTATGGTTCCGAGCCAAGGAGTATTCTTCCCTTCCAGGTACAACATCATGCTTTACGATACCACCATATTGTACGCATACGAGATATCGACGGATTACTCTATCGCCCAACTCTTGAAACCCGAAATCCAGATGGAAGTAGCGCATCTCACTCGACAAAAGCTCCAGCTGGAAGGATAGTCACCCTCTATGCTGCAGGATTCCACGGGGGAGTCGGAGGATATTTCCTTCAGAGAAAGCGTACCTGACAACGACTTCGCCCGTGTAGAGTGATGCCGTCCTGTTTCTCCTCTGTGATGCAGATATCGATACGCAATTCAGTCGCAAACCCTTCATACGAACGCATACAGTTCACGTCACAGACAGGACCAAGTTTCAGGGGGGCTTGACATCGACCAGAGTCGCAGTAAAGATGTTCTTTGAATTATTAAATTGTCTTTATTCGCCCAAAAACGTTAACTACTATACAGAGCTCTCGCACCAATGTTAAAACGGGCCATAATTGTATCTCCCCGTTTCCAGCCCTAACTGCTCCGGATCTCGTTTCAGAGATTCGAAACGCGTTACAACAATACGAAAACCTTCACGGGAAGGATGAATGGGTCAGAAAGCTAGCGATGATCTGCATTTTGTTGTAAATGCCGATTGCTCCGACATAATGTCAGATGCAGTGCGAGAGAGAAACTAATTTCGTTCCTCAATGAATCCCAAGCTTCAATATGGTCACATTGGTTGGCAATCGGTTGCTTCGCGACTGTGGAAGCAAAAAGCTTACCTACTGCCCCTACTGTTTTATGAAAATAGTTAAATGCAAAGTTGTCCATACTGCGGTTTCTATTAGGTGATTGGAAGCTTTAAAAGCGAAGTTTCCGCCCCATCGAAATGTTGTGGCTTCCGAAGCGGTTTGCGAGCTCTCGAGCTCGAGTCAATAAGCTACGTATCGATTATCCTGGCACTCTCGGCTCCATGGCGGACGCTTCTGTTCTGCTGGCGGCGAACGGCCGATTCTTCAGACGCGCGAGCTGAGTGGAGAAGTTGATGGATGGATAGATCGTAGAAGCGAACCGTCGGTAGGTCGAGGAGAACGAGAGCTCCGGTAGGCTCCACATCAAACTTCGAACAAGCACTTCTCACCGGGCCTGAATCGACTACAAATTTGAAGCGTTGCTGCACGTCGATGGCGATGGTGATGATTCACCCCTACCGTTGTTATGACTCTGCTGAGATGCGCGCTCGATGTACAAGTTCAGGAGGCGCAGCTGCAAAGCATAAAACATGTAATTTCCACTGATGACGACTGTTCGATCATCAAAAACGAGGAATAAGCTCCGCTTATCGAGCCCGTGAATAAGAAGTTCCATTGTCAGTAACACGCTCACCTTGCAGCCCGGTAGGTGACTGGTATACGGATGCATGGCGTCTTTGCCAATCTTCATGTGCATGCTCACGAGAGCGAACACAGACGCCTTTCTGACCGAAGACTCGGCATGGTCGTAGGTACGGATGAGAATGGGGCCAAGGACCGAAAGCTGCTCTCGTACTACCTCATCGGTATGATGATCAACAAACTTCTGCACGACTCGAATAGCTGTACATAACACACTGGGTTCATCTCGTGAAGTCATGGCAGTCATGACGCAAGCCGCTGCCGCTTTTGCCATGTCTTTCGGAAGAACTGTACACACCAGAGCAGACACCGACGAATCCGCCATACGTGTGACATCCTACAAGAAGAACAGAATTCGATCTCGTGAAAAACCCTCGATTTCAGGCTTTGAGGTGATGCAGTGACACCCTCGATTTCTCGGGCTCCTCCTCATTATAGACAGCCTTTCCCTTGAATTCACCTTATCTTTGTCTTTAGCAACCTGCAGAATTCGCTCAAGGGCTTGTTCAGCTACGCATCTGGTGTGTTGGGGTTGTTTGCGAATGAGTTCTGTCAAACTCTTAAGAACATGAAACTTGATCCCTGATTCCTCCTCCAAGTTCGATATCAGAACGCGAAAAACAGATCGGAAGTGCACCTCAGTCTCCCAGAGGCTAGGTTCCTGGAATCGTTCAGAAATGGCAGAGCGTTCATGGAATTTCAAAATCGCGAATGTATCTGAGCTGACCCTATGAGTCTCGGCCATGGGCGATCGAAGCCACCGAAATCTTGACTTCGAAACTGACCTTCAGTAGAATGTGCAATTCGGCGAGGGCCGATCGCTTCTGTTCCGAGGAATTCATCGGGCTCGCGAGGAGTTGTACGCAATGATTAAGTCTCTCCGAAGCTGATCCTTTGCCGTATCCGACAGTAGTCTCGGATTCCGTAGTCTGCAAGACAGACGATGTTAGATTCCACTGTTCCATGCCGTGATCGATCTTGAAGTACCGCGGTAAAGCACCGAGTCGGGAGCGCCCCATGTCAGTGAAGAGACTTTCTCGTCAACCCATCCATCGCGGAAGAAGTACCTTCTTTCTCAAATTGCCAGAGTGGTCCTCAAGCGGTCTTAGTTTCGAGTTCTAGAAAGATAATTATTTCTTGATTCCCGTCTCTCGAGTCCCACCGCGAAAACCAAGCATGTATCAAGATGAGCCATACGATCTCGGGCTCTGACCGGAAACTACCACGAGGCGGGGGAAGGTTCCCTGCATCGTCTCATGGAAACTCACCCCGAAGGTGGGTTTCGATGTAGGATTTGCCCTCAGATTCTCCGTGTTTTCATCCTCGAATGATCTTTGAGGTGACGACGTCAAATTCGGAGCTTCCTCGGATCTGAGACCGGTGATCGAAGATGATGTTCGGCTGTCGGGACTCCCGAGAGATGCTTGACTGGCGCTCTCAGGGTTGGAACCGGCAAATCTGGGAAAAAAATATCCTCGTAGAGAGATTCGATACTTCAATGAGCTCCGTCCCCACCTCACCAGAGTGAACTTACGGTTTAGCGAAAGAGCTCTTCAATTGGCTCTGAATCACGTCAAGAGCGGTTCGTTGGAAGTCCGGAGCCATCTGATTTATGACCGTGGAGAAATAAGGCGTTTTGACTTTATACAAGGACACAATGACTTGACGCGACTTCTGCTGTAAATCGGGGTGTCTAAGGTCTCCAGCCCAGTTTGTGATCTTCAACAGCGTATCCCTCATATTCGGGTCGTTAGCGGGAAGATCCGACGAGTCCATCATTCCGGTCAACGCCTCCAAATAGTTGAGAACTTGAAGTTTGACTTTGGCTGAACTCGATGAATGAGCCGGGTCGTTCAGAAATCGTGTGATCACCGTGAATTGGTCTTGTCGAGGGAAGGTCTCCCTGATCAAATCCATAGTGCGACCGATCTTCGTCATCACTGAGCCCAGCAGATCTTGGCCGCTTTTGATGAAGAGCTTTGTCAGCAAAATGCTCAAGAATCCGATGCGATGCAGGTCGCTCGAGTGAACGGTTATCAGCTCGTTTAGGGTGTCCAGAAACAGCGAGAACACCTGCGAATACACACGTTGAGACATTCTAACTCGGAACTCAATGGAGATCGCGCAAATCTCTCCCGCACCATAACTCCCGCGCATGTCGGGAACGACGCGACGGACGAACCTTGGTATGGGGATCCATGAACATTTTGGTCAATGTCTGTGTCACTTTTTGAAGGTCAGGATCGCTCAGGGCGTGAGATTGATTCCGGAGTAGGCACAATAGACCCTGTAAAATGGACTCCATCCTATGTCGGGTGTACACCTCCTCAAGAAACGAAAATTCCCCGATTCGAATGTTCCACGGCTTCTTTGACGAAGTGTCGGAACTCACAGCTAGGCCGTCTTTCCTGTCCGACCAATGAACTGAAGCGAGATTCGCGAGAATCTCAGGAACGTCGTCGTGTCGGAACGATCGATCAGAGGCTACGGAAGAGGCATCACTATCTTCTCTCGAATATCCGAACGAGTGCTGCCTGCCGAACGATGATAACGGCGACCGGATCTATCGAGGGAGAAGGATGTCCCGAATGAGCAAGGCGTTTTCCGCATCGAGCGAGAGCTCAGGCACTAATCAACTCGGAGAAAGAGCGAGGACTCTCGTCTCTGCCTCCTATTGGTCCGTGCGGAGGTAGACCGGAAATGGAGCAGTAACTCAACACTCACCGTAGTGGAGCCGAGAGCTTCTGCCATCCGTTCCTCAGCTTCTCGAGAATTTCGCAAAAGTTTCTCAGCCGCGGTCGGTGTTGACGGTATGATCGTTACTGGCTCGCGGCGGCCACTGTACCTGGAAGTCGGAGTGTGACAATCGAGGATCCCATTCTCATTGATGCGTTAAGACAGTGTTTTCTAAACCCTCTGATGGTCTGCCGAAAATTTTCGATTCCTCCCGAACTCGAGTTCAGTCTCGGGTTTCCAGGCAGCCTCTTTACCCTTTTCGGTAAGATTCGATGGTTTTGCGGACGTAAAAGATTATAAATCGGATTATAGCATAGAAAACGATGTCGTGGGGTTCCGAAGAGCCTCTGAGGAGTCCGCGGGTAGAAAAGTTTGGGAACTACTGCGTTAAGAAAAGACTTGTATGCGCATGACGCTTGCGGGCCCTCTGATTCGCCGCCCCAGGTCATGAACCAGAGGCTCACCTTGACAATGAACTCCTACGACGGCGCTGCGTTTCACTCAGCGCGGACGATGACGATTGAGATCCTATGGATCTGAGTGGAGAAATGAGATATTAGATCACAATTTCTACTGACGAGGAGCCGAGCTGCTGACGAGCGGATCCATTAAGGGTGATGCTCGATCTGAAACTATCGAGACACAGACCTTGACGGCGATGGGTCCCTTGACGTCGCCATCGGTATGCGGGACCTAGACGGAGTTCGCCGGCTTTCAGCGCTACCGTACCCGTAGGTGGCGTAACTCCATCGCGACGACGGTGAAGCAGATCGCGAGTTTGCTGGAAAATTCGAGGATAAGCATCTAGGCACCTCTGCTCATCCTTGTCTGTTTACCCAACAGCGAGACATAAGCCGGAAGGGATGCTGCACTCACGCTGAGACTGCGACACCTGTCTTCCTCTACTTTGGGGAGTCCGCTCCGGAGACGTCACCGCGGAACATACAGATTCCGTCCTAGCCTTAGCGGCTGACCTCGCTGTAATATCGTCGACGGACCATTAAACACCAGATAGCTTTCTGCGATCGGATTATCTCTGACATAGATAACGATCTGTGCTTCAAAACCCAAATGCACAAGCCGGAACTCTCATGGGGCTCTACTGAAAACACTGAGCGAGAGACAACAGTCGATGCGGAATGATTATAACGAAGATTTTCCGACTTTTCGCTTCGATTATAGGGTCAAGCTGCCAGGGACGCCGAACCCGTTTAGGACGGTGGCTGGGGATTTACTTCAGGGTGCAGATATGAATTAATCTAAAGCATGCCGAAAAGCGGACCGATATTTTCCGGGTCGAGGAAACATTCAGGATGATTCCCCACTTTGTGGAATATGGCGTTCAGACCCATCAAACCTCAGCAGATTCTTCAGTCGATTAGATACACCAGAGTGCAGTGGGAGGGTAGTCGAAATCATCTTTTGTTCCTGTATTGCCTGCGAACGATGCTCTTTCGTGCGTTCATTGAACTTACGTAAGGATAATCCACTCCCGGCTGCGGTCATTCCGTATCCATAACCAGAGGAAGGGGTTTTGACGAGAGCTTTGAGACGGGAAGACTTTGCCGCAGCCATATCAATGGCGCTATTTGCTCGCCTCTGTTGAGCGGATGCGGCCGAAAAAACTGGTTGAGGGACTGGGGAAATAACGAGCAGGTAGGGAAAAAACGAGCTTCATGCCAACAACGACCATTCATTTGTACTTTGATGATTCATCTTACAGCCAGATAGTTATTTTATTCTACAAGAGGGCTGATGACACTCGGGTGCAGCAATGCATGTGCATGCTACTCACGTCTCGATGTTTGCGTTGGATACTGTGTCCGAGACCCCGCGGCGTTCCTCAATGATTCCATGGAATTGCCGTGCGCGGTACGACCGCGGCTAAGGTTGTTCAACGATGACGATGACGAGGAGTTCGACATCCCTGCACGGAGAAAGCATTCGAAGAGATCGGTGTGACACGAGCAACGAGTTGGAGTTCGGTCACATAACGACGGGGTGGGGAAACTAGCGGTTCGAACCGGAAACTTTGAGGCCAGCAAGAACTGTAACTTAATTTAGAGATCAAGACAATTTACCTCCGTAGCCTCCACCCATTTCTCCGTGTAACATCTTCTGCTTGTTCGAATCCAATGAGAACAATAGAGAGTCCGCCTGTGCTTTAAAATGCTCTGCAAAGGCCCAGAAAGCCTTGCGGCAGTGTGATCTAAAAGAAAAAGTAATTTTCAGGACGATGCGATTCACCTGCCGAACGATGGCTCAGGAATCCTCCTGACCGGCATCGGTGTCCCATTTGAACGGAGCACGTCGTTGAAAAATTACCTCGCTTCCTGGTCCGCATCGGACAGCCCCGCTCTTATGGCTTGTTGCAAGATTGCGATATGCCTCTCGAGCGTGAATGTTGGCCAAAGTATCAACATTTCATACAGGAATTCAAAACAATGTCGTCGGAGATCCCTGTTTTTCGAACTAAGATTCTGGATGACGACCGGAACAAGTCTCTGCGAGTGTACGTTCTTCAGAATGAAGTGAATACAAACTACGCCCGAAGTGGACATCACCTGCAAGACAATCGTCAATTAATGGAGACGCTTTTTCGACCTATGATCGATGAGGAGACTGGACGGGGAATTTCGCACTCACTTTCACAGTAGCACCCATGAGCAAGATGAGTGATGGAAGCAGCTGCTCGCAGAGTCGGTCCATTTTTGTGCTGAGCTGAACGCAGAGGTACCTTCGGACAGAATTAATTAGAAGAAAGCGTCTACGAGTCACGAGGAGTGTTGCGGAGGATGATTCAAGGGATGCGAGTCGATGGCAGCACTGTTCGTACTGCTCAGAATCAAAAGAATAATGTACTTACGAGATAGTTATGCAGGCTTCACGGACAATTTGCGACCTCAGATCTTTCACGCAACTCTGCAGGGAGCTCTCGAGCGTCTTGAGAGCCGGGAGAAATTCGTCATAATCCTTCGCGCCAGCGATCACGAGACTTCTTATCATTCTTAAAGCATTCAGCCTTTTTTCCCACTCGACATCGGCGTTCGAAATTGTTGATCTGATATTTGACAAATGCTGTTCCAACTCTCTCGCGGAGAATACGTTTATCCTTGGCACGTCCGAGAACGCTTCAATGAAGCTTTCTTCGTCGACGGAACCCGCGGGTCCGGCTGACTGCGTCTTGGGCTTAGCCGTGGCTGAGCTCTTGCTGGCCAATGCCGATAGAGCCGGCTTCTTCGCAGACACAAGAGGTTTCGTCTTCGGTGCGACACGATCGGGCTCATCCCCGCCCGGCGTCTCTGCAAGCGAATACAGCAGCTGCTCGGGATTCTTGTGCGGATCATTCGTAGTGGCTCCGACTGGGAATCTCTAAAAATTCTCACCTTGTGTGGGTGATACGAGCATTTCTCCGTTTTCGATGGCTTTATCGAAACGTTCGATAAGCGCTTGGAGTCTGAGAATATTCGATTCGTGAGATCGACGGCCTTGTCTCAGGCTCTGTCTCCCCATAGCCTGATGGTCTCCCAGATCATGACTGAAGTTGAACAAAAATGGCCGACCGAGAAGGAAACTCACTTGTTGGGATGGATGGCGTATTTCCTCTGGAGATCGTGTCGTAACTTATCACCGACGTATCTATAAATGACTACCAGAGTAGTCATAGCTGTGTCTCGAACCTGGAAGGAAATATATGCATATTTTCGCATCGGCAGAGTCTTTCCCTGGATTCAAACAAGAGGAAGTAATGGAATTAGAAGATCGGATAACCACAAGAAAACAGACCTGAGCGTTGGGATCGTCCATGAGCTTACAGATGGACGGAATGAACTTTGAGATGGTTAAGCACGATGCCGTGTATCTTTACGGAGAAAAGGGGGAATTTAAGTTCACTAGGAGGCTCAAAATCCTTTGCCTTATGCAGGATGGAATAGTCATCGAAGTCATAATCATCTAACAGTCATCTAAATCTTGTACCTTATGACGGTGTCTTGCATGAGCAGCAGAATTTCCTCGCGAACTCGGAAGTTCTTATGTGTATACGCGCTCGTGAGCCTGTCTAGAATGTATTGGGGTGATGTCACCTGAAACAACAGAAGAAAACGTAGCAGCTAAGGGGATGGAGAAGCTCCACCGACGCTCGGAGCCGTGATTTGTGACGTACACTCACCTCCATCATCTTGTTGAGCAGATCGGCGTTCGTGTCCCGTATCAATTCTTTAGCGTCCCCCATGCGGTCGGTACAGGCGGGTAGAACCGAAGAAATATACGGCCTAAAATCCTCGCGGAGTCTCACGACGATTCTCGAGAGGATCTCTAAGCCGTTCTGCTGGATCTTCGAGTTGCTACTGCCCAACCTGAGGAGGCATCGCAACTTGTATTCCGAGGCGCGTCGTCTCTGGTCGCATGTGTCGAGTTCATTCAATTGCTTGAGCGAAAGAATTCCATTGGGAAAAATGACTTACCAGCTGACGAGGCCATCGATGAGTGCACCTACATCCTCGCCTTGCAGAGAATGGCTTTCGTTGTCCACCCAATTCAAGAGATCTTCTCCGATCTTCAATTTCAAACGGATATCCTGCTTGCCCATCTGTGTGATCCACGGTTCGAGCGCTCCGCCCTCCATCGTTCCGGCAGGAAGGCTGCTACAAAATATATGGCAGCAATATTAATGTGGCCGAAAGCTAGGGCGTGCCATGCATGCTCTGTCCAGATTTCACCGGCAACTGGATGGTTCGCCTACGAATGCTACCGATTGGGCACCTGAACTCTGGACGAACACACTCATGACTTTCAAATCATCGTATCGGAGACACCGTAATACGTGGAAACCCACTAATCTTCACGATACAGTCCGGCAAAAAGCTGTGGGAGCTCACTCGCACTTGCAAGAGTAGTACACCAATGGTGACTAACCCGCATCCTGATCGGGAAGGAATCATCCGAGGAAAGTCTAGCGAGGCTCGTAAGGCCCATGAGACGGGATCTCGTCAAATTAGGAAGCTTCATTTCGAAAGCTTGAATGTTTTGGATAAAACATTCCAACCTTGAGGCGGCCTTCGGCACATCACCTGGTTCACTCACCCAGTCACGACCATTCGGATTCACTTGACTGACAAAAGGACGTTCATATTGCCATCTCATAGAGGTACGACGAGACCGAATTAGAACAATATGAATATTGCTTCCGTAAATTTCCCTCTGAGCAAATCAGTTCTTCTGAGCAAACCGGCCAAGGTTATGACTGCTGTCATTTCCACAGCGGTACTCGCTTGGACCTCGTTAGTATCCCCATCTGAGGATCCCGGCTGCCTCACAGAGTATCTATGAAATAATCAAGCGACAAATTCAACGGTAGAACTCACCTCGCTTCTCCAAAGAATCGACGGTTCTAGTGAATGCCTATTTTGGGATCCAACCTTTTGGATGGATTCAGAACTTTCATGCGTGGGAGCCGCTCTTTGCATTTAGTTTGGGAACATTGCTGCTGACTTCGTCCATCGTTGCATTATTCAAACAAAACTTCACAAACTCGACGGGTACAATATCGACACTGATTTCACAAATACCCAGTACCGGACGGCACCTCCCTATGTGCTATTGCTCGCTCCAGTACACTGTCTGAACTCTCCGCGCTCTAAACGACAGATGCTTGGATCGGTGGTAGTGGTGAGGAGACTCTACTACTCAGACGGTAGCAACATGGCGGGTTTCAACAACAAACAATTCGGCGGAAACTCCGGGTGAATCATACAGTCGGAGCTCAGTCCGGTCGGACGAGGTGGCCTGATCTGGCGTTGGTGATCTCCGATGATGCTTGCCGATTTTGCGTAGCATCGGAATATGGAAAAACAGCATCCGCTGCTTGATGAACGCCGCTACGGTGATTTCTGAGATGATTGATGCTTCGCGCTGCTAGAAAGAGCAGCGCGAACTTCCCAACGGTTACGGACAGCAACCGATTCATCCGCGGGACCGACGGGATAGAATCTATGTATATGTATCAGGAGGGCTTCTGTCGTTTCTACGGCCTCTGTCGGGGCTCTGGTCTCAGTCCATCTCTTCTTTTCTCCGACGCCTGCTTCAATACCCGACCCTGGCTCGGACTCAGTCGTCAATCGTCTCGACTTGACAGACGCAAGTTTCAATCCACTTTGATTAGGCATCATCCGATGTGAGCAGAAGGAGCCCGAGTCTCGATTCGAGGAGTTGATCCATTCCATCACGAGTGTTGCCTGTCCGGCGGCCACGGCCTCCTGGAGATCTCATTCAGTCTCTGGTTATTATCTGCCTAAAGGGGGAACATGATGAATTTCCCTGTAGAGCACGGCGAGGGATTCTTTACCGTCGACAGCAAAAGCTTGTAGGAGGATCGTTCCGCCCGGCTCAGGTCAATTTTCCCGGAAGAGGGGGAACGTACGCGCAGATTTTTCTGATTAACGGCGCTGGATATACTCCCCCCTCTTCAGATTTGTTTGAAGGGCAGAATGGCTCCGTCTATTCTGCACACCTGATCCGTATGGTCCGGTGTTCATAGTTAGCCCTCCAGACCACGTGAATCGTCATTTTAAACTCGTTCCGGGAAAAGATGTTCTTTTGAAGCCGCCAAAATTTTTCGAAATAAGGATGGAGCAGTCTAACAGTCTGTGCCCACCACACTCCTCCTCCTCCTTCCTACATGAGTAGTGTGTCTCCTCTGTGGTCGGGTTGCCGCTGCTCGGACCGTCTCTCATAACAACATATGTGTGTGTGTAGTGTGTCCCAGAAGCCGCTCTTGACAACTGGGAGGAAATGCGTGTGAGGAAGATCTCTCCTACAGGCTGACCCGCCGCGGAGGACGGAGATCTTAAAAGTCTGCCAGGTAATCAGGAGACGGAGAAATCTAGAAAAAACCTTTGGCCCTCGCTGGGATACGCCGTGCGCACAATTCCCTCGGTACGAAAATCAGCCGTCGTCTCAGTCGCGGACGCTCCACAGAGGCAATCGCTGTATCAGCTGATTGTCGTGGTGAATGCCAAGATTTCAGTCAGGGTCTTTGTATGGAGAGGTGTCTACAGGGTTGACATTCGTTTTTTTATTTTTTGTGATGGAGCAGTGAATTCTGTCTTCTGGTTGTGAATGAATATCTTCTCATAGGTGTCCAGGATGGCAGACAAGGTAGAGTCGCGCTGCTGGCCTCTGGGGCCACAGGCGCCCCCGCCTCCGAATCCGTGGATAGAAGAGATGCTTAAAAGAGTATACTTCACTCCGGATCTGGATATCCGTGGCTTGCTCGGCGATGCTGTCAGTACTCCCCAGCAGCTCTCGTTGCCGGATGTCTATGACGCGCTCGAGAAGATTCTCGTTTCCATCCGTGACGATGAACTGGAGACAGTCGAGGGGAGACTCGGTCCGAAGAATGTGGCCTTCGACATAAATTCGAATGTTGGCTCCCTAGTCATTTCGCAAGATCGACTCGGGGTAACGAGTCAGAGCAACTTTAATACGGTCAAAGCCAATTGCTGTGTCTACAAAGGAAGATGGCAATACGAGGTGAGGCCTGCCGCAGACTGATCCTCGAGATCTTGCTACAGTTCGAGCGAGGAGACTGAATACTCTGATCAGAAGGATGAAAATTTTTGATTCTTGGAAACAGGTCTCTCTGGGGAGCAAAGGTGTCATGCAGGTCGGTTGGGCGACCGCGGAGTGTGAATTCAATGAAGAAGAAGGTGTTGGCGATACCAAAGACTCGTATGCTTTCGACGGTAACCGGATTCGGAAGTGGAACGTCTCGAATATGAATTATGGAGTAGCCTGGTTGGCAGGGGATGTCATCGGTTGCTGCTTGGATCTCGACTCGGTGAGTTGGGAGGACTCTCCTCGACACACCTCTCCTATCGCGAGATCCACGATTCTTGTTGAGGATGTAACCGCGAGGCTCCATCGTTTTTCAGGGGTCACTGAGTTTTTACCGCAATGGTGTCTGCCTTGGAGAAGCTTTCAAGAATATCCGTAGGGGTCCTGGATACGCATATTTCCCAGCTGTTTCACTATCTTTCGGCGAAAATCTTGTCGCTAACTTCGGCACTAGTCGATTTCGCTATCCGGTGGACGGTTATTCGCCACTGGTTCCAGCAACCGACACCAGGAAGGGACAGCTTGTTTGTGATCTACTCTACAAGGTACTTGATTGAACTTTCATTTTCTTCGGGATGATGGAACTTCATTTTCTACGAAAGCTCTTCCCCCCAGGCGTTGAAGGTGTACGAAGATGCTGAGAAGACCACGTTCAAGAAAATGAGTGACGACGGAGCTCAAATTCTCCTGAAAGGCAACTCGTCATTGGCGCTCCTCGTTGCGGCTCCTGTCGTCGAGTACTTCCCCATCGTTGCAAAGTCTCCCTATGTATTAGAGGTGTGCTAAGAATTATTTTATGACGACGATTTTCGACGACTTCCTCGCGTCAGGATTCCCATTGAGCCTTGGGTTTATAGCTTCTTCATCACGCAGTTCACCCCATTCTTCCAGGCGACCTTGGTACCGCTCTTGGAAAAGCTGCTGGAAAAAGATCCGCGTCACATAGCAAACCTGTTGAACATGTTGTGGACACTCTTAGAGTGGCAACAAATTCATTTAGCTTTAGAGAAGCTCTCCAACGTTTTAATAAGCTCGTACAGTTTCGCATCGTCCAGTTTGGACTACGGTCATCAGAAGCGCGTCCTGCAGATATTCGTCAGCCTCTTGTCCCATAAATACACGAGGCGATTCCTCATGTGCAAGGTGAGACTGACGGGGATCAGGATGATGGATATGCATCTTTCGGGAAAAAAGACGAGTGGCCGATCAGAGTATATGGGCTTCGAGTCGGTTCGCTCCACGAAGAGTCTTGATCCCCAGGTACTGTTTGAAAAAGGTCGCTTCTCTACTCTGATGAAAGTCAAACCCCTAGACATTCAACACCTCGAGCAGATCGTGCCCCAAATATGGTTCGAAGTGGACGAGGTGAGATATTTGCACATACTGACTGATGTATACTCCCGAAATTCGACTCCCGCTCAGCGCAGGTGTCCATCATTGCATTGAACGAATAGAGCTTCAACATGCGAGGCCCGTAGGAGTGCTGAACATCTGAAAAGACGCTGAGCTTTTCAGGATCCCCCTCATACGCCCGACGATGCCTCCAGGAGAGCTTCTTACTGCCAAAGCAGGGATAAAATCAAAGCTGTCGTCTCGCAAGTTGAGGCACTCCAAATTGAACTCCTCCAAAAGGTCCGATTAGAATAATCCGCCTCCACCCTCTGGAATGAAAAAGCAGCGAGAATAATTCCCCTGAGCGTACGTCTCTCCGGTCGGCGAGATTCTGAAGATCTATCCCTCTATATCAGGTCACTCAGGACGATGACAATTGTCCCCCCCTGGGGCAAACCTCGAGAGATAAATTCCTCTGCGAGTTCGAGAAACTTCTGAAAGAGCACAGTTTGGCGCATTCCGCTACGACACTCCAATCGAACCTGTCCACAGTGGCGATCTCGTATCTACACAGGTTGATCAGGTGAGCACACTGTCGATTCGAAATATTGAAGGAACGAATTTTCCGATGACGATAGAGGTCCCGGAAGGAAACTAATTCGAATCCTCTTTCCCAAAGCATCATCCGACGTTGTCTCCCGATTGTGAATCCGGTAGACGGCTCTGATCTTCGGGAGTCTTGTTTCTTCGTGCCTGTTTTTCATTTCCTCGGTGAACAGTGGACAGCTGGGGACACCTCGCGTGTGGGCGGGCTGTATTCTCATCTGAAGACGACATACGCGACGGAAATGAAGACAATGTTGAATTCAATGGCTTCAGTGCGACAGCCCGCTAGAGATGACGTGCCGTACCATCAAACCCTCCCCTTAGTGGATCGGGCGAAGTTCACCGCCACCATCAAGGTCTGATTTTTTCGTTTGATATACGTGCGATCGGACTTCAAGATCATTTTCGGTAGAACTATCTGACGTGAGGCGTATCGCTCCGCAGGTACTCAAGCTCGTCGACTCTGTGGTTCGGCTCTACTCAGCTGTCGTTCACGAACAACTTGAGAAAGTGAGCAATCCCGATATCGATTCGAGGAGAGGAGGAAAATATACCCATCCGTAAGGTTAACCGGGAAATATGAATTCTAGGCCGCAGCACTCCGCGATAGCATGAAGGAATACTTGAAGGCGTACCGCCTGACGTTGGACGCAATGGCGAAGGTGGAAGAGAATAGCTTCGAGCAGGCACGACTTTCGTGCTCCAAAGATGTTTTCAAGAAGAAACTCGACGAGCAAGCGCGTCAGATGGCTTGGCTCAGCGCAACAATGTTCTCTAGAGAGAAACAAGGCGATCTCTATTGGCTCCTCCAGGTATAGTAGAGACTTGATTCGCGACGCAGCTCGGAGAGCGGATCTGTCCGAGAGTTGGCTGCCGAGATCGTTCAATAAATTTCGGACGTCATGCATTTTAGGTTGTGCTCTTCACGCTCGAAGAATCTTCGAAAACGGGGGAATGTTTCGCCTTCGTTCCGGATTTCTACGTGGAAACTTGCATCAAATTGTTCCATTCGCTCACTAGTCTATTCCCACCGACCTCAAGTCTGTCAGAGATACCCGGTCACTACAATCTGCAAGTACGTTGATGCACCGAAGCACGGAGGAGGGAGCTGTTGAAGATTCGGGGGGCTCACGGAACTTACTCCTCGCTTCCAGGTCAGATACAGCACCTTCCTCGCCATGCACTTCTCGGATAAGAGGGTGGTCAATGCAGATTTGAAAGAAACGTTGATACAAGCACTCGCGCAACACGTTTGCCCACCGGAGACCCTCCGATCTCTGGAATGCATGAGCAATGAATCGTCGCAGGTAGGTGAAAATCAAAACCCATCCTGGAGAAAAATGCTCCCTGAGTAATCGGAACCCCTGTCCAAAATACTTGCGAGTATCTCTGCGAAATGACGAATTTCAGATGATGGTCGCTGCCTTACTGCGACCATACGATCGGGCCTGGGCTCAGTCCAATTGGATTCTTGTAAGACTGTGGAAGGGTTGCGGATTCGCATTCAGATACAGGTTTGTGTGGAGTATTCCGAAGATGCGCTATTCCCCTGCGGATTAGCGAACCTAGATTTCGATTTCAATCGCTCCTGTTAAAGAGAGTTGGGCTGAATAAACGACATCCTTCCTTACAGTGAGGCACCCCATCTCGTGGAGAAGAAAATGTCTTTGCTGAAGCCTCGCGTCACTCCTGTCCTACCTCCGCATCCACCGCCGTGTCCATCTGTCTTCTACCAAGTAAGTTCGGGCCTAAGCTCCATGGTACTCGACGTAGGAGTATCGATATTGAATTGTCACCGGTATGGCTCCGTCTCTCCGAAATCCTAAATTCCGGGAATTTTCCAGAACTTGATTTCGAAGTATTTGGAAGAACACCCGACAAATGCATCTGCTTTCATCGAATCCGTGCTGACTCAGCTCAATTGGGCTTTCTCGGAGTTTGTTTCGATGCTGCAGGAAATTCAAACGGCTCACATCCGGCCCGAGAGGTGAGCATGCCCCCGGATAAAGCCCACAACTCAAATCCCAGATCTATTACGGAGGATACTACCGAACGAGAAATGATAAAACGACTGCCTAAATCTTTTTCTCAGAGTTTTGATCGATTCTCGTCATCTGAAAGTGTGTTCCACGTGCTTCAATCTGACGGTTGCGCTATTGAGGGTGAGATTCATGAAACCATTCGACCTCCTGAACGAAGCCTTGATGACAAAATCGAGCCGATCGATGTATGGAAACCCTCGTTCCAGGTTATTGAGATGATCGCGAACTTGAGTCCGAACTGCCTCCTTCGGCCTGCGCAAGCATCCTCCATGTTTCTACCTCGTCTGTTCCAAACTCTCTCCCATATCCTGAACCGGGTCTGCTACGGGAAGGTAGGATTTGGCCCGCTCTGTCGGATAGAAGTGAGACTGCAGCCGCATGACATTCGATCTTTCCAATTTTTCAGGGCTGCTTCGATCTTGTGGTTTCCCTCGACATCATCGGTCTTGAAAGCATTGATCATTTCGTCATCATCAGCGCTGTTGCCGGTAAGGAAGTCAAATTTCGGACCAGCGAGTTCGACCGTTTTTATTGGGACCCTGAGGCCTCGGTGTCTGTCCGCCGTAAGTCAAGAGAGCCGCCGCCCACTAAACATGGCACCGGGCTGACTTTCAGGCATTCTGATTGCATTGCTCCTCAAAGGACCGAAAGAGAATCGGGAGTTGGTTCTGCAATGCCTTTTCCAAGAATCCAGCTTCCAGCCTCAGAGCGTCGAAGCTTTTCTTGGATTCCCCGTCACAACGAGTGCACCGACCAGCACCTCATCAGTAAGCAATCAGCGAACCACCACTGCAAGTGCAAAGACAACGGTGGACGGGTCTACTTTCTCTTTAGCTAACTACGGAGACGTCAAAGAAGAAGAGATCGACCAGGTAAAAATATTTTTCCGTGTGAGCTTCCGCGTTTCCCCTTGACACATCGTAGACGGCGATAAATGCTATCGAGGAGCCGAGCGCTGGTCGGAACAGCTCAAATTTGATGTCGCTCTAAGAAACTTGATGCAATAATTCGCCTCTCCGAACAGGTCCGCCAACTCATACAGCTGATCAAGAAAGCCTACGCGTCTGCGGGGTCTCAATCGGATGCCTCCGGGCTTCGAAAGCAACAGTCAATCGACCAGGTGCGCAGTCGTCGTGAATAGTGATAGGCGCTACATTAGTCGAGATTTCCCGATTTCCCCCAACACGATCGATCCTCTTGAATTTTGTCTCTCCTCACCAGGATTCTGAAGACATCTGCACAATTTGCTACGCGGCCGTGAGAAGTGCCGTTTTCCAACCTTGCCTGCACGAGTCCTGCCGGGATTGCATCCAGCTTCATCTAATCAACCACAAAGAGTGCTTCTATTGCAAGACTTTAATCACAAAAGTTGAGACGAACCCACCGGTGGACATCCCGGACATCACACCGCAAATTTGAATGTGGCGGCTTGACATCTAGATCACCCTCTCCTGACTGGAGCTCCCCGCTCTCAGCATCAGGCGGCTCTCCAGGGGACACGCTCTCGGCCGGACCTCATCTTTGAGTCTTCCTTAATGCTGCTCCAGCCGTGATTCGAGGCGCCTGATGGGCTTCGGCGAAGGCTTCCTCCCTATTCTTGAGACTCGCAAGTCGCCGCTTGTCCTTGATACTGTAGATAATGATGCAAATAAAAGATACAGGAAGTTCCTTAAAACCGTGAGTCTCTCCCTTCCTTTTCCAGAAGTGCTTTCTCTCGAAGAGCAGAATCGACGGCTCTTACGTACTGATGCCTCCGGCTCAGATATCAATGCGGTTCCGATATCCGAATAAGTAGGAGCGAGGATCAGCATTGCGAGCCGTAAGCACCGTCACGGTTCAATGAGCTCACCTATTTATTCATTAATTTATAACAAACAACCTGGTTCCGAGAAGATATTTTACACAGGAATTTCATAATTAGCTTAAGAATTCGTATTGTTCACATTTGGCTGGCCGACTCTTATCATGGTGCCAGATCCTGTATGGTACAATTGCTGTTGAAGGTTTATTTGGGTCAGAGGTCGACCCATTGAGATCTGTTGTTGGCGCATCGTCGTCGTCCGCACCCCTGCAAGATCCGGTCATCAATATTCAGAAACCTGATTTCAAGCACGGTCCGAGGGTATGATCGATGATACGCAAGGCTGGGGACCATTCAAGGCATTTTTCTCGAAAATTCACGGCGATGGCCACCCCTATTGATTTCCTATGGGGGATCGCCCGGAGGCAGCGTGAAATTTCACGACTCGTGGCGCGACCGCGCCGACTTCCCAACCCTAATGAGACGGGCTGGTTCAAAAGACTACGAATTCAGCTCCGCTCCGTGAGAAACACGGAGTTTCCCCCCAAAAGCATACAGATCCCTTTTAATACGTACCGATCTGCATTTGGGTATACTGATCGTGATCGCCTGGGTGCTGTTGAACTTGAATGGCATACTGCTGCTGCTGTTGCTGTTGCCCCTGATGTCTCAGCTGCATGGCCTGCTGCAGTACCACTGGCTGCGACGCCTGTATGGAGAGTCCCATGAGAGATGAGAATTATCAGGATTTCTCTGTGCTGAATTCGGAAATGAGTTGTTGAATTATTGCCCAGGCTAAGGGGAGATGCAAGTAGCAAACGAACCATCTGCTGCTGTTGGGATTGGGCGGTCATGGCATGCTGCTGCTGCTGTTGGGTCTGCAGGTGCACTCGCTGCATCTGCTGCCGACTCTGTTCTTGGCCGCCAGGCACGAGCATCTGCTTCAGTAGATTCGGTTGCTGTCCCTGGATCTGAACATTTTGTTGCATGCCGAGATCGCTGTGTTGGCGATGATGTATCTGTATCTGCTGCCCGGCTTGCAGGTGTTGCACGGAAATTTGTCCCTGTTGGGGCTGAAAGGCGATCGTAAATAAGCGACCTCTCTCTCCGTAAGACTTTTCTAGTCATGTGTGATCCAGATGCATGTACATACCGGCGATATATATTAAAACAGGCAGATATCGGCAGAACGGCCGAACGAGTTCAAATTCAGGCAGTTTCAGGATGGGTTAATAAGTCGAGCATGCAGTAGGTCATCATCATCATCATCCCTGGATTTCAGGAGTCGCAAAGTCGAATGTATAGCTCGAAGAATCATGGCAGCCTCTCGAATGTTCGCTAATATATACATTTGACTTCGATCTCATCGAGCTCCCCATCCAGTTACTTTGTTATCCTCGGCAAGGGCGAGCCCACGACGGGTTGCATCGTTGGCCCCAGACATTCTGGCCATTCTCGTCCCAATCATCACATAGCCAGATTAATCATAATTATTAGTATTAGCGGAAAGACAGGTGGTTTGCAACCTCCTCGGCATGCAGCAAGGGTTCATCGATAGCTTCTGTTACGGTTCGATCGGTCACTTATTCCGGCTCTTACTGCCCAGATAATATCAACCATAGTAATCGATGCAAATATGAGCTCTCTGTACATCAATGAAATCAGCATGAGCACCAATATCAAACTGTTAATAACGGACTAGAGGGTCTGTATAATTCTGTCATTCTTGAAACTTCTCGATTAATCGGGGAAAAGAAATATTATCACAGAGATCGGGCTCCGAGTCGGATGCTCTCAGGCTAGTGGACTCGCTTCATCTTTGCTCACATTGGCTTGTCCCTGAATTTTGACTAGGTTTCCGCCTTGGACACCTGCATGATACACTTGTGGTTGTTGTTGTTGCTGTGCGTTGATCGGTGACTGATGAACACGCATAGCCACGCCGCCTCGAACACCTGTAGCTGAAAAAGTGGGCTCTGTGTTTGCGAAAAAGCCGAGTTATGCTGCAATGCATGCAGGGATACGACTCCATCTTCGACAAGCTTGGAACCCTTGAGGATATGAGAGAATTACCGTTCTGAACTTGTTGATAGTTTTGAGGTTGTTGCTGCTGCTGTATCAACGTGTACTGCTGCGGTTGCTGTCCCGGCTGCTGCAAGCCCTGCTGGAGCACCGTTTGGACTTGGGGTTGCTGCTGATCGTGCTGGCTCATCAACACTTGTTGCTGAGCCGGCAAGCTCTGCGGCAACTTCTGTGGGTGCCCCATCATCTGCTGTTGCTGATGCTGCTGCGGAGAAACTTGCTTCATAACGCTAATCGTTTGAGGCTGTTGTTGCTGGGTATCATGGCCGGGGGGCACAAGCATCTGCTTCAGTAGGTTTTGCTGCATCATTGGTTGCTGTTGTTGCTGTGGCGATGTTCGTTGTTGGAGATGATGAGCCTGTTGTTGTTGCTGTTGATGTTGTTGTTGTTGCTGCTGCTGTTGCTGTTGCTGTTGCTGTTGCTGTTGCTGCTGCTGTTGCTGTTGCTGTTGCTGCTGCTGTTGTTGTTGCTGCTGCTGCTGTTGCTGTTGCTGTTGTTGCTGCTGCTGCTGCTGTTGTTGCTGCTGCTGCTGCTGCTGCTGTTGTTGCTGCTGCTGCTGCTGTTGTTGTTGTATTTGTTGATGCACCTGTGGTTGTGTTTGCAGGAAATGCTGTTGATGTTGGAATTGTTTGGGATGGATTTGCTGCGGCTGCTGAAGCTGCTGCTGGTCTTGTTGCTGCGGGAGGGCTTGTTGTTGCGGTTGCATTGTTTGCTGAGTCGTCGTCTGTTGAATTGGACCAGGTTGCTGAGGTTGCAACCCATGCGATTGCTGCTGTGGCGGTGCTTGGGTTTGTTGCGGCTGTTGTTCTTGCGAATGCGACTCCTCTACTTCAAGCTTGATCTTCTCTAATTTTATCGAGACGCTCGCCGGATTCTGCATCGAAAATGTTTCGGGCTCGAAGCAGTTCCTCGCCGTCTTCTCTATGTCCACATAATTTAATCGATCGAACAGCGGAAATTCGAACTAACCTTGCTGATCGCTTTCGCCAGTTTAAGTTTACGCTTTTTGTCGGATTTGGATGAATCTTTCTTGATTCCCTTCCCGCCCTTCCGGAATGAGATTGGATTTAGAATGTTTACGAAGCTGAAGAACATCATCTCAGGGGGCGCGGAACGCTCATTGCTTACCTTCGTGATGTCATTCATGATTTTGTCGAAACTTGCGACTTTTCTCTGTGTAGGCGCTTTGGCTTGTTTCTGTTTTCTGAACGACAGTGAAACGGCTGGCGTCGGCTCATCAAAGTCGAATTCATTGAGCTGCAACAATTCCGAATCACACATTAGTGGGGGAGTCGGAAGTTCATTTGACGGTCAGGGAGGGAGAAGCACCGCCGAGAATCCGTTCAAAAGCGAGAGCGGAATTCGTCGATCACTAAAAGCTTCCCTACGCCTACACTCAAAAATTCGAGTGAGCACCAACGAATGAAGGACTTGACATCGATTCAGCGCGGATAGGTACTCACATCTTCTTTGGGATCCTCTTCGTCTTTCGTGGACTGGTTTTCGTCTTTGAGATCTTTCTTCTTCGTTTCTATCCTCCCCGGGTTTTTCCAGCTCAATTCTATAGTACCGTTTTCGGCTACCAATTTGTACAGTCTGCGAGGCGAATACGACAGTCTCCGATTAGGATCAGTGTACAGTGGAAGTCTGACATCTCAGCTCCACCGTCATTGAGGTGTAGTCAGAAATCGGCTCACCTCTTGATTTCCTCTGGATCTTTCGGAGTGAAGTATTTAGAACTAGGGTCCATGCAGTCTGCGACAAGCTCATCGTCAGAGGCACCGATGCTCCACTCATCTTCTGCAGCGGCTCCCATGATATCGAGCTGCAGACTCCCTGAGCCGAACTCTCTGGCGGCAATATCACCGACAGCACTACCACCACTGTCTCTTCTGACGAAAACAGAAGCTCCTTGATCACTCACCAGCACACCACACAGTCACTGTCCCAGACAGGCGCCAAAGTTTTGTGCTCGCACCTTGTGAGCACACCGCAGATTCAAATTTGTTCCAGATTCGCTCCATCGCCGATGGAGGTCATCGACTCGATAGTGTCCAGATCCGGGAGTCGGAACAAATTCGGCTCGAGGGGGCCGATTCCTCACACACTCACGCAGCTGGAAATCGCCGCCTGAAGCTCCTCAGCGCACCTAAATCCATCATCATCAACGTATATGGCACTCGTTGGAATTCGTCTGCTATCAGAAAGCCGCCGCTGTGTTACCTCTAAGTAATGTGGTCGACGTCTCTCTCAGCTCGCTCTCTGACCATTGATTCTCCAGTATTCTCTAGTAGACGCGGGCTGTCATCTCTAAGACAACGGTCGGTGGCCATCTCTTTCCGGAGAGCGTTGGGTGACAGCGCGCGCTCGCCTCAAAATACTGTTCAGCTTCATATGTGGCTTGCGGTGCAGTGTTTTGCTAGAAGTGTTTGAATTGAACTGAAATTTCAACTGGGATGAATGGGGTCCTACTCAGAGAACTGCCCGCCTTCGGTTGTATTGACGGCCAGCCTCAGCAGTTCTTCCACACCTCCCCAGGTAGGTGATGAGCCATGATCAGAGCTCCCGAAAGTTCAAGAACCTGTTTCGCAGACTATGACTAACGCACGCATCGCAGCATAGGAGCGCCGCCAATAGTGCATTTGAGCTCCCTAGGTCATCATCAGATCCATGAGAATTGTGTGACCATCTGAGCTCATCGCTTGGACCCCAACAGTCGTATTCGCTCCGGTTTCTCGGACTCCAATGAGAGCTGTCTGCGTGATGACCCCACCGTTGTTCATTGAAGCCGTCCCCATTCCAGATCCGTTCATTAGAGAAGACATTAGAAGAGGCTGTCTCTCTCGGCGCCTTGCGATTGAACGGTAGAAAACTCAAGGAGATATCCGCCAAATTACTGCAAAAATATGATCTATCAGACACAATTGTTGCGGGTGAGTGATCCGAGGAAGCAGCCCATGCCGGCGTTCCCGAGTGATTTCCTTCAAACGAAAGAGCCTGTTACCTCTGAAAGCTCGCAGAACCCCCTGGAACCGCGCTCCTCCCCTCGATTCAAGACGAGGTACCGCGTTTCCTCATCCGTTCACAAGCTTCTAATTTTTCAGACTTGTCCAAGAATCGCCTCAGCGAGCTACCTGCCTTCGTGTGTGAATTCTATCTGTTGTCGGAGCTCTCCTTGTATTCGAATCTTCTACGGTGCCTTCCTTCAGACGGGTCACTCTTAACGTTGCAGAACTTAACGTATCTGAACTTGTCAAAGAACCAAGTGTCTGTCATCCCACAAGCACTATGCGAGCTTCCGAAACTTCAGGTATGACAGGTCACAAGGATCTTGAATCTCGATCGCAATCAGAGTGAGCTCGCGACGGATTCCATGTGGAGCACCTGAGGATTCATGAGAGTTTCTCCTCTTCCATTGGTACAGGTTCTTATTGTTTCGCACAACCGGTTGTGTTCACTGCCCGAGGAACTGGGGCACATGACGAGCTTATCGGATCTCGACGTCAGCTGTAACGAAATTTCATTCCTCCCGAGTCAAATCGGGGACTTAGTGTCTTTGAAGTACTTAGATTTGAGAAGAAACCTCCTCGTGGAGCTCCCTCCGGATATATGCGAGCTCCATGGCTTACGACGATTGGATATCTCCGAAAATCGTATCCAGACCTTGCCATCGCAGATGAAACACATGGCTCTGACGGAGTTTTTCTGTGATCACAATCCCCTCGTCACCCCACCGGCAGCGGTGAGCGTTCCTGGACTTCCTCCCTCCATTATCTCCCATTTCCCATGTGAACCCCGCTGGAGCTCTTCCTGTTAGGAAGTAGCCCGGATCGGGTGAGGCTCTCGAGGAATCGGGTTAAGACATTTCCTTCCACAGCTCTGTACCCGCGGTCTGATACACGTGAAGAAGTTCCTCGACAATGAAGAACGGAAACGCGGTGGTAGTGCGCAAAGCGATACGGGAACCTTGACGAACGGTCGGAGTGGCCTTCGCCAAAGGGAATCTCTGAGGTTGACGAACTTGGGCTGCTATGGGAACGTCGGGAAGAACAAAATGGATTCTAACGTTGTTGACGGGGGACCTGCTTTTGTCTTCAATGATAAAGGGTGAGAATCCCCTCGCCACTCGAGAGGGCGTAAGGGAGGAAGCAAGCCCTGTTTGGAGCTGATCATTGTGTCAGGTTCGCCTAACCTGAACTCATCATGTGTTGAACCCAATTCGCAGTTACCCGATGAGCTCCTTCAAAGATGACATGAGCGCCACTGACGAGATTCGCCGGTTCGCGGCCCAGCGAATGGAATTCACGCGAAGTCCAAAGAAATCACACGTAAGACGTCGCGGGTCAGCCCATCCGATCGGTCCGAGCCAGCCATAACCATAAGGGGAAATGAATGAAATTCATTCCGATCATCTTCCAGGTTCAGGAACAAAGCCAGGGTCCAATTACGAGCCCGTCGAGTGAGGCTAATACGTTACAAGGAGGTTTGGCGACCCCAAGCACACTGAGCCCGACCACGGAATTCGTTCCCCTGCCAGAAAACGGTAAGTCAGAGAATTTTCGCGGAGCGGGACCTCAACATTCTGACCTTTCGTTTGAAGGATATGGTTTCGATTTGTCAGTCCGAGTGCAATGAATTTCATTTCGCTTCGACTCTGCAGAACACGTGACACCCGAGGAGGAGTTCAGACAGAGGCATGAAGCCATCGTACTCAAACAGAGAGCCGAGGCACTGAAAGTGAGCAATTATTTGTCGAATTATTGTAGAAAGATCGTTTTCCCGCGGAAATTCAACGATGCTAAGCGACTCCCTTCAATTCAGCGAGCGCAAAAGGAGGCCGTGATGGCATTTGTGAAACAACGCACGAGTTCCGTGTCCCTCCCGCCGCATCCTCAGCAACCACCGCCACCCCCTCCGAACTCCAGCGCAATCCTACCGGCGAATGCTAGTCCCAGCGCGGAAACGGCACCCCCCTTGCCCAGTTTCACGATTCGACGAGGTAGGCTGTTCTTACTGAACTTCCCCCCCCCCCTCGGAGCGTACATTGGCGCCGTCGATCGACTTCTACCTCACGGGATCATCTGAAGTCGACGGTCGCCGCATTTTCGCGTGAGCCGGCCCGCACTCAATCGCTTCCCCTTAGGTTTGGATCGCGCTCGCGAAGAGCAGGAACTCCTCCAACGGATGCGGCAGATAATCGAATCGCGACTGAAAATGGCTCTCCCGGAAAATCTTGCCGGAGCTCTGACCGATGGTGTTGTGCTGTGTCATCTTGCGAATAATGTCCGTCCCCGCTCGGTGGCAACGATACACGTCCCGTCTCCCGCCACGGTATGAATTCCCATAGAGAGCTCCCCGTGCTCAATCAGACTCGCTCCTCAGACCACTGGTCTGTGGATGCTCCATGAGCAGTTGGGGGCAGCGATTTTCTCACGATTGGGATTCTTCGGATTGTTGCAGCCGAAGCTCACGATGGCCAAATGCAGGAGAAACGTCGAAAACTTCCTGGATGCCTGTCGTCGTCTCGGAGTGCCATCGGTGAGTCTCACCTTACTTCCATCTAGCAACGCACTTCAGAGCGTTTGACGTCAACGGGGGTGGAAGGCGATGACCCTCGTCGATCATCGGAATACTCGAAACCTCAGGAGTCTTTGACACCCGGGGAGAGATGGGACCTTTCCACACCCGTTCGCAGTCAGCGCATATTGCAACCCTAGAACACAGAACGTGTCGGGAAGAAATTCCACGCTGTTATCACCGGCTTTGCCCTCTTGCACAATCTGGTTGCGTTCTTCACCCATTCGGATAATTTTTAATCTCGTTCTCGAACGGTCCTCCATTCGTCGCGGAACCTCCCATGCATGTTCGTTATGCTCCATCAGAGTCGACCGTGTTGATGAAGTTCGACCTTTAATTCTCGTGCGTCCTGCCGAAACTCGGCTTGCTCCGATGGTGGGGAAACGACTTGAGATAGGTTGAGCTGTAGTTCCGAGAATATCCGCTCCTTCGTCTGCTCGATGCTTCCTTCGTGGTCCGGTCTGTTGATTTATTGTCCTTTGTTCGTAAAACGTTCAATTGACCGCTGCAATCAACACATAGAGAACAGTGGATCCGTCTTTCGTTCTCGCTGTCCGTCCCCGAGATAGGCCCTGTCATCGATTACGTCTTTTGTTTTGCGTCTCCTGCTGTAAATTCCGTTTTCCGTCCGAGAGGTGAGTATCTCGTACCCGCTCCAGGTGACGTAGCGCTTCTCTGTTGCCCTAGACTTCGCTTCTTCCTCGTTCCTTTTTTCTCCCCGCTTTACCTTGCGCCTGACTGATCGCTCCTGCATTTCACCGAATCTAACTCTCGCTCCGCTAATTGCCCACTACTTCCCCTTCCTCAAAGAGTCGTCTCGTCGGTTTTGGGATTTTGCAATCTCAAGAAGGAATCCGTCGCTTTCAGGAGGAAGTCTGCGAATGCGGAGACGTGTTGGCCGAATTCGACGCTCAAGCCGTTTTGGCGACCATCGAAGGCCTCCTCAGAATTGGCAAGGCCAAACCTAAATGCAGGCCGCCCCCGCCACCGCCTGCTCGCGATGGGCAGCAAGCGCAAATTGTTAATAATAACGTTTCTAAAGTTCTCAAAGACGAGGATCATTTACAAATCACCTCAGAATCCGCGGACAACGCCGATATACCCTCGCGGAACGACAGTCCAGTTAGCACCAGTGAAGATATATCTAACCTCGAAAATCTCGAGTTCGATCCGAGCGATATTCGACCGAATTCCGCCGCGGGCAGCCAGCAACGGTCGAAGCTCGATAAGCGTGACCAGGACGAGGATAAGGGCAACTTGACAGCGACTTTCCAATCGGTGAACTCACGTCAAGACCACGACAAGAATGCGGTCGCTAGGTTGAGGAATATGTTTGAGGCCGCCGGGCCCGATTTCCAAGACGCTAACAAGACGCCATCATCGACCGCCGCCGAGGTTTTCCACGCAAAGACTGAGGTCGTTCAATCAGGCTTAAGGAGCGAGAGCTTCGTTTCAAAACCCAAATTAATCGGGGCAGCGTCAGCGGGCTTGGCTGTCCTCTACATGTACTTTTATCATCCTTGGATTTTACTCCTGCTATTCATCGGCGTCATCCTTGCTGTGTGGCGAACTTTCACGCAGCGTGGTGCCGCCTAACCGAGCTTCACTGAATCGACGGGAATCCAGGCATGGAGAATATACATATATGGAACCGCGTTCACGCAATCACTGTGCCAATGCGGAGGAAGATCCCAATATAGTAGAACATGGCCAAATGGTTTTAGGCAAAGCTGTTCTTTGTCGAGAATTTTGTACGCAACTCTGAATCGATGAATAAAGTGAATGTGCACGACTCTCGAGAAAAGTAGCCGTATTACGATGTTTCACGAGACGCTGAGGTTTCATGAGTTCGCGAACGCCTCTGAACGCAGAGCATAGCATTTGCGAAACTGATTCCAGCCCGCTTGAATCGTAAACTTATTCGATGACATCGAAGAGGATCCGGTTTGGCTTAGTCAGCAATGCCGCACGATCACATCGTCGTACAGCCGTGGTTCCCGATGAGAGTAGCAAGAATAAGGTGTGCTTATGTTTTTCCAGGAACTGACGTGTACCGCCGTCGACATTCTGGAAGAAGAAAAAGGGAGAATTATCTCGGTGGCAATCACCGTTATCGAGTTGGCCAAGCTTTCCACTGTACTCCGTCCTCATTCTATTTCGACCATGTCCCTGGACAAATCCTTCCCTTCTACAGGCTACCACAGCCAACTGATGTCTTCAAGCAGCATTAGGCAGAACTCCTTGCTGTCTTTGGAGGAGAACGCAGCCCGGAGAGCGTCTTCGTCCCTGAATTACTCTACCTCGAGCGTCGAAAAACTCGAGCGGTTCCCTAGGGCGTCGACCCAGTCTCAAAGCAGTAGCTTGGCGTCGCTGCGGGGTCGATTCTACGCTCATCGTCCCTTCCCAGAGCCACCGAAGCCCCCGTGAAGCCTCTCGGACGGAGCGCTCTCTGAATCACGAAGGAGAAACCTATTGTCACCAACAACCAAAACGTGCCAGCGATTGGCCGTACCTTGTATAAATTTGCCTCATTTACTAGTCCTTGTTCCAGAGAAATCAGGCCGATCCTCGCTTTTGAGGTCAGCCCGTCAATCATTTTTTCTTCTGGGGGAAGTTGTTTCCCGGGAAATTCTCAACCATGCATACGGTTTTTCACAAAGCTTGCTCTCAGCTCAGGAGTGGATCTACATTGTGGGGGATTCCGCTTCTTCTCAAAGATCGTCGTCGACGGGATCGAGGAAGTCGCTCTATCGGCAGAGCTCATTCTGACGCGGACAATCCCGCGTTCCGTACGCCGTTCTCCCTGCTCACATCTTTCTATCCTACCAGAGAGCCTTACGGAATGTCCTCGGCGAATGCGCTGGGAAAGTAGTGCGCTCTGGAAGCACCAGTGTAAGTGAGACAGTGTATATGCACCTGGTAGCTCCGACTGAGGGATCGAGAGTGACCACGTCCGATGCTACCTCGTTTCCCGAACTCTGTGAATGTACATATAGAAAAAAATTACCTATACATCTTGCGTTTCGAGTGATCTCACTTCATTGACTTACTCAGATGAATGTTGGCTGAATTTGATTAAAATTCCTTCGACCTCGGTATTTGAGTCATTTTGCTTTCTGCCTGCAATCTTTCGATTTCCCGTTCAAATGAGTCATCCACTCAAGCAGCTGAGCGGTTAGAGCTCAGACACCGATCCCCGAGGTATCAACTTAGGTCTTAACCCTCCTCATTGTCTTCTCCGTCGGAAGGCAAGCCAGATAGAAAGACTATATTTTGGAAAGTGACACAGTCATTCGAGATGTTGTCCGAAAACTCCGAGTGTCGAGCTCCTTTCTATGGCGGGTGTTCTGCTTTTCGATGCTGCGTCCAGCTGATTGATACAAGCGAAAGTTTCGCAGCTGCGTAATTCCGATATTGAGCTTAATCGAATCGTTGGGAATCAAGGAGATGTCGTTGTCTCCGATTTCCCGTGGTATTTGAGGTCAGTGAGCCAGTCGACAAAATTATGTCAGCCCCGCTGATCGAGGCGAATGCAGCTGTTTACTAATAGTTTAATATCTCGCTCGATCGGACCTCGTGAGTGATGCGGTATGTCAGACACTTTACGAAAACTGAAAGTGATGCAGCATTGTGTTCGATGTGTGAGGGTCGCATTCTCTGACCCGTTTGCTCGGCGGCGACGCTCAGCCAGCTGACTGACTGACTGGCTAACTAACTAGCTGACTGGTAACATTTCCACTGACCCATCGGCACTGAAGATTGATACGGACGATCGACCATCCGATCTGATCCACACCGACTGTTCGCTCTTGGCAACAAATTCTGGGTGACGCTCAGCATTAAGGGAATGCGAGCAATTTCTTTGTGAGAGGCCGCTCTGCGCTTGGACTGTATCGATTCGCGCGGCCGTGTCGCGTAAAAGGTTTCCTATCGAGTAGGCAATATGTATGAAGTTCTAGATCAGCACAGTCAAAGCTCGTCTTTGTCGGAGGTCGCTCGGCGAACTTTTCAAGGCCTCTTCCCCTCTCTATCGTGCTGCTGATCTCTTAAATTTACAAAATAGGTATTTTTCCAATCGGACAGCCTCTGCGAATCCCGTTCGCCTGTCAACGCGATCGGTTTCGGTGTTCGGTGTCCGAAGGTAGTGTAAAACAGAGCAATCATGCTCCAACTCGCTGCGAAGAACCGTTCCAAGTGGACATAGAGTTGTAATCGCCTTTCCTTCCAAGCCACCGATCGGATACTCCCTTTCACCCTATTTACTACTTCGGCAAATTGACAGTGAAAGCGATCCGGAGCAAAGCAGTGGTGAAAGTGGACGCTGATTGTGTCTTACCATGGAAACCTACATACTCACATGAAAGTGAGAGTAGACGAAAGGAAGCAGCGCAGTATCCAGTTTCCCGAGTGACCAGCCGACTAGGTCTGGTTCCTCCGATTTCTCTGTGTGGAGCCTTCGTGTGGAGGCGATGGCCAGCCGGCATGATCAAAGGGACCCATGAAGGTAAGCTTGACCACTTTTGGGTCAATGCTGTAGATACGTATTTGCTAGGGAGGATATCGGCATCGAGTACAAGTCCGCCGGAGGACTGAATGTATTCAGTCATCCATCCACTAGGATTCAGAGTCTCGAACTCGGGGGCAATTCCCGCGATTCTCCCGGAAAATCCGCTCGTAAAAAGTCAGTGAGTGAACTTCGGAACCGGGGAATCAATCTCCGTGCCGATCCGATCCAGACTCCACGCAGGACAGAATTAGTGATAATTCGCCGATGAGCGACGGTGAAGGATCAGGGCTCATAGCACTGATAAGTGCGAGAAATCAATTGACGGGCGGACGTTCTGATAAGCCTCGGTTTCTATGCCCATTGATGAAGTCTGATTTTCGTATCGACACCAACGGACATCGTCGGAGTTGATAAGTGCGGCGAAGACTTCTGAGCTCGATTACACGGTTGGTCCTCCAAACGAGCGAAGATTCGTTCGGATTGTTGAACGCACTCGCTTTCGCGTTTGTTCCATCGCAATCTGCGCGCGCCGCTCTGAGCTCGAAAGACAATCCTTGGGAACAAAAAGTTCCGAAGCTCATGGAAAAGAAAACTTGCTTTCTGTCTGGCCCCGCACAGCTTTCGGTACACAAACGAACAAATACGCGAGCATTTTGCGACCAATGGAGCGAGCCGGCTACGGCGACGATTCCAGCAGCTCAGATCATCTTCCCGTCCCCACCCCGGACATTTTCCTTTTCACTATCTCATCATTTTCCCGTCACAATCCGCCCACGATCACATTCTTTCTTTTAGTTCACGATTCTTCGCCTCAGTCATGGAGTGGTGTCGCGAGAGTAGAAGCTCTCGCTTTCTTTCAGAGTTGTCAACTATTTTCCCACTTCTTTCCCTCAGTCGAGCATCGCGAAGCCTCGAGGAGGAGCCGTATTGAGGGGAACAGAGAAAAATCATTACTTTTCCGCCGACATAGAACGTCCCGCTCGTCAAATGAGCCGAAGACTTTGACTTATGAGGGCCTACATGAATTCCGAGGGGTGAACTTCCCCTCTTTCGGAGAGAGATCTTGAAATGAAAACGGAGATATCAATTCGTTCGATCGTTTTTCCAAATCACGCGGCGTTGCCGGCTCGTTCTTCCAAAGTTGTACATGACGGATTGAATACTGTTCCGAGTCAAATCTTCAGATAAAACTCGTGCAAGCCGTTCGGGTTGTTTTTCAGCACAGATATGCATTTGCGATTTGAACCCGGAATAAGCGTGAAGTCCGCTCGTGAGATCGTGAACAAACTGAAATGAGTAAGCGCCTGCATAGAACGCCACAATCGCCTGCTCCGGATGGTATCCGTATATCCAGCCGTATGAAGTAATGCATCATCAGCAATGTATGATGCCGCTCTCTGCTACAACAAAGGCCATTCGGCTGACAAGAGCGGATGACGTCGCTTGTTGGCGGTAGCAACAACATCTTCGGCATCGGCGACAACGGCGGGGCATATCTGGCAGCATTCCTCATCCCCAATTGTAACATTCTGCGGCATGTCAGCTGCTTTATTTCCGGTGTTTCTCCGCCTAGATCTCTTCTTACGTAGTCAGATGCGTTCTTCCCTGGGATTTTGCCGCCGCGCCTACGCAAATCCATCTTATGAAGGCTGACAACTAGATATCAACCAAGCCGTCAGTCAGTAAGTCGGTCGGTATTCGCGACGCGCTCTTTGGCTTCTCATTCCTCGTCTCATTCCTTCCTAGGTTAGCCGATTATTCCGTATATCAATCGTGTGACTGATTCTCGGATAGCGAACGCCTTAGACGCCGAAATCGAACACCGAAGCGTCTCTATAGCTACCGAGGGTCTACACAGTACATAAGAAAGTTTTCCACACCTCAAGATGCGGTGGCTCGACCGCTATCATTTGCGTAGGAGATGAGTCTCCCCGATCGCGTGGTGCTCGGCGTTGCTTTTTTTCTGGTTCCGTCTAATTCCTGCCGGACGTGGAAGAGTCATTTCATAACGTAGTTCATTAGTCGATGCTGAATCAGAGCGGTGGTTGCCTGGTCTGAATGATATCTCGTGACGGAATCCTAGAAGTCGGACCACCGGCAGGAGTAAACGTTACGATACCACATCAAGAACTATAATTAT